AAAAAAAAAAAAAACACATCATAGTAAAATTAATACCTTCTCCGCTTCGCATCGAAGCTAAAATTGAAAAAATGTCAAAAATTTGCGATTTTTAAATTTGTAATTTTTTTTGAAGATTGCACCTATTTATGGGGAACGAGGGAAATTTTTTCAGTATAATAAAATTTTATCACTTGTAGCTAATACTATTTAAAATTAAAACTACATTAAAAATATTATTAAATTAAAACAAAAAAATATTAATATTAAAATAAATTAAACTCAAAAAGCCACAAAAAAATTACCAAAAAAGTCGCGGATACGTATTTCGAGAACAATGTTACCTTACCAAGTCAAAAATACAAATATTTTATACAAAAAAAAAAAAAATCTTTAAAATGACATGAAGAGTATGAGAGTACAAAACATGTATACGTCAGTGAATAACTAAGTGGAATTCGGAAAATCTTGTTGGTTGAGACTTGTTTTGTAGCTAAAAGATATAAAAGAACAATACTTAATTATTATTTCACGTTGAATACAATCATCGCCGTCGCATACTTAACTTGAATTAATTTTTATCTGACTTTATTAATTTTTTATTATTATTTAAAACCAGAAAACAATGTTAGTTATAGTAAATAATTGTTATTAAATTTTGATGGCACAACAATAATACCTAGTTTCTAATAAAATTAAAAAATAACCTAAACATGGCTTAATATACATTGATACCATTTTATATCCATATACATATGTATAAATGAAAAGTTTGTAGCATGATGAACATTTCTATAGGTCACTTTTTCGTCTTTCTTAAAAGTGTGTGAGTATATTGTAAATCTTTAATTATTAAGGATTTACAATATTAAAAAAATGTATAACAACTTAATATATAATTATGTTTTATTAAATACTTTTCAGTTTTAAGTGATGAAAATATCTTAAAAAGTAAGATATTATAATTTATATTATAATACATATTAAAACATTATTACATTTTAAACACCTAATAAAATTAAAATGAGACTTTCAGTTTAAGTTTTATAATTTAAAATACATATTTTTAGATGACAATATTTGAATTTATTATATTATAACACAATACAATTTTTACTAAATAATACATTTTCAATAAATACATTTAAAAATTCATAAAATTAAAAGATAGTTAAAAAATGACTAAATTTGCCTTGATCGCCGTTCTTACAAAATACATTCATATATATATTTATATATATATATGATACCAATAGGTAATTTGAACTATTACAAACTTTTCTGTACCTCACTTTGTTCGTGTTCAATATAAATATGTAAATAAATTAATAGGCTCGAATAACTTTATTGAAAATGGGCAAGATCAAAAAATTAAAAAAGCTTTATAACAAATTTTATTATTAAAAGTTTCTTATACTTTACAGTGATAAAATATGAATTGTCCCACACAAGTAATATACATAAAATGATTAATTTTATTATATCTTAATGCCATGAAAAAAATTAGCTGCAATATCATATACAGGGTAATTGGCTAACTATGCCTCACATAATATCTTCAAAAATACAAGTGTTATAAACAATTTTTTTTTAATCATTATGGAAATTTAACTTTTCTAGTAAAACAGCTCATCAAAGATCTAAAATAATTAAAATAAAAATTTGTATATAACATTATTTTTTTAAAGATATTACGTGAGACATAGTTACCTAATTACCATGTACTATTAATATAATATAATACTAATAAATAAGAGTCGTTCCATGTGAAATCACCTAATGTGTGTGCGGTTATAGTTCAGAAATGTTTGAAATTCTTATCATAGACTTCTTGAAGGTCATTGAAAACGAAAATAATTTTTAGTTTATTGTTTTTTTACCAGATGGCTCATTTTTTATAATTAAAAACTTGAAAAACATCTTATGATTTATAGTCTATAACTTCACATTTAAATAAGATATCAATGTGGAACTAGCACTGTGTTTACTCATATTACACAGTACTTCAATTTCACTCTTATGTTTATGAATTCTAATTTTTTTTTAACAATGATATTTTTTAAATTTTGCAGTATTTCAATAGCAAAATTTGAAAGTAAAATTTTTTTTTTCTTTTCAGAAAATTTTTGTTGTGTTCTTTTAATCCATATCATATTTAAATCGATTAATAATTTTTTTTTTTTTTGTATCGTTTTACAATTTTGAACAAGCATTGTTGGTTGAAAATAGCCTACTTTATCATTTTATTACACGAAAGTGACAGAACGAATTTTTCATAATATGTTCATTATAAATTTTGAAACTCAATAAATAGTATTAAAATTATATTTTCTAAACACTTTCAATAGTGCACAGTAAAAAAATTGCTAGAAACAATGTGGAAAAGGAGGTGCGATAGTATTAAAGCAATAAAGTTTAATGTCAAAGAAATTATGGATGCGTGTTATAGATCATAAAACGTTATCAAATAAATTATAAATCGATTCAAATATGATATGGGTTAAAGAACATAACTAACTTTTCTTAACTTTTCGTTTCTGAAAAAAAAAATTTTTTTGACCTTCAAATTTTTCTGTAAAATACTGAAAAATTTAAATCAAAATTCATTAACTTAAGAATAAAAGTGAAGTACTATTTAATATGAGTAAAACTGTGCCAGTTACACTGAAATAGCTCATTTGTATAAGAAGTTATAGGCTCTAGAACATAAGGTGTTTTTTCATGTTTTAGCTTCGATGTGAAGCTGAGAAAGTATTGGTTTTACTAAGATGTGTTTTTTTTCTTTTTTTTTTGTGTCTGTTACCACTTTTTCTCAGCTCTCAACGATCACAAATCGTATCTAGTCGAAGACATTACCCTTAAAAATTGAAAAAAATTCCCTCGTTCCCCGTAAATGGGGGAAACCTCCAAAAAAATTACATATTTAAAAATGCCTAATTTTCAAAAATTTTTCAATTTTTTTTACTTAAAAGTGCCATAACTTTCTCAAAAATGAACGTATCAATATAATTATTTTTTATATAGATGCATAATGTTATTACCTTTCATTTGGTATATTTTTATTATAAATTAAACCCTTAACCTGCCCACAAGGGAAGATTTAAAATGACAACTTTTTCANACCTGCCCACAAGGGGAGATTTAAAATGACAACTTTTTCACAAAAAATTAATTTGTTTAACTTAAATTTTGAAAATGTTCCGGAAGGTCTGACACTTTTATATATATCTTAAATTAAAGCTAATGTAATATGCTTTATCATGAAAAAAAAAAATTTCGGACTTTATCTTATCTTTACGGTGAAAATGGCTACCGAATGCTATTTTTGTGTGAAAATTTTCGATTTTGTATTTTCCATTTTTAACTTTATTATGCTATAACTTTTTGAAAAATGTATGAATCATTACAATTTTTTTATGAGAAGTAGTATTTATATAGATCTTTCATTCGACATACTGTTTTTTTAAATCGGACCATTTCCCTAAATACAGGGGGGATTCAAAACATAAAAATGCATATAGAAAGTAGAACTTTTTCAACGTAACTTTTGAAAGTGTTCCGGAAGGTCTGACACTTTTATATATATCTTAAATTAAAGCTAATGTAATATACTTTATAATGGTAAAAAAAAATTTCGGACTTTATTTTATCTTCATGGTGAAAACAGACATTAAACTTAATAAAAAAAATACGATTTTTGTAAAAAAATTCTTTTTTATATTTTTAACTTTATAATGCTATAACTTCTCGAAAGATGTATGGATCAATATAATTCTTTTTTTTGTAGATGCATGATGTCTTTACCTATCATTTGGTATATTTTTTTTATAAATCTGACTTTTTACCTGCCCACAGGGGGGGATTTAAAATTACAACTTTTTTACAAAAAATTAACTTTTTAAACTTAAATTTTGAAAGTGTTCCGGAAAGTCTGACAATTTTCTATATATAATATAATTTTTTTATGGGAAATACTATTTTTTAATAATCTCTTTTTCATTCGACATACTTTATCTGAATCAGGATATTAATAAGGATCTAGCAGTTTATGAAGCTTTTGGAATAATCCACCAATTTTTTAAAATTAAACACTATCTAAAGATTTGCATCGAAGCGTTTTTTTTTGATAGTGATTTTAATCACTGTCAGATATCATTATACTTGATCCAACTATGCCACGTCACCACTGTGCCACGACCCCCCTGTGCTGGGTTTTTTAATTATGAAAAATGAGCTATCTGGTAAAAAAACAATAAAAAAAATTTAATTTGTTTTTAAAGATCTTCAAGAAAACTATGATAAAAATTTCGAAAATTTCTGAACTATAGTCGCACACACATTAGGTGATTCACATAGAATGACCCATAAACTAAACATGGTACAATTTACCTTGATAACTTTTTACTAAATATATCCATGTACACACGTATAAAAAAGAAGTTTGTTACACCGGTAACATTTCTGTAGTTCACTTTATCGTGTTCTTTAAAAATTTGCGAGAATAGCCTTGATATAACCTAAACATGGGCAATTTTCCCTGGACTACCTTTTTACCAAATACATCCATTTACAAATGTATAAAAAAATAGTTTGCTCCATGGGGAACATTTTTGTAGCGCCCTGTATTATTTTTTTTTAAGTGTATAATATCAAAAAAATGTATAACATTTTATTTCAAAAAAATAATTTTTTATAATACATTTAAGATTTAAACGATAAAAATGTCCATGAAAGTAAGTTTTATAATTTATATTATAATACATTTTAAGACATTATTGCATTTTAAACACCTAATAAAATTATAAAATCCATATTTTTAATTGATAATATTTTAATATTTATTATTAGTAATATAATANTATAAGAAAGGAAAATTAAGTCAAATCGTGAGTCAGCTAAGACGTGTCTCTATGTACATTTTTTATTTTATAAATTTATTCTGTTTTATATAATATTTTTGTGTTGTGTGAATTTTCGTGTGTAATTAAATACATGTCCACCTCAATAATAACTAAAACTAAAAAAACTAAATATATGTGTTATTTTTGTTTGTTAACATTTAACAGAGCTTTTTTGTATTAATTTATAGTAATAGTATTGCGTCTTAGCTCTGTTCCTATGGATGCTATCCGGGATCATCGGTCAACAAACGGGAATAGAGATTGGAGAAGATATATTGTCTACTCAAAATCCGGAAAATTTCAAACGATTTGTTGTGTATATTATAAGTTTTGTTAGTGACGAAAATATATAAAATGTTTTTGTAATTGTATTAGACTTCATTTTGGTTAAGTAAACGCGCAATTTTTCTTTGTTCGTTTTCGCGAGATCTAGTTATTGTTAATCGGTTTCTAACATCAATTTGAATTTGATAAAACCTTTGATTATATAACAGTTCGGGATGCCTAAAAATAAAAATTCTAATGAAACTATGGACGAAATTTCTAGACTTCGAGAGGAAGTGTATTTGCTTTGAGACTAGTACATAGAAATTCTCATTTGAGCTTTAGAGATGTTGAAGAATCACTGTCAATATTTTCTGGTGATGATGCTTATCCAGTTAATCGATGGATTGAAGAAATTGAAGAAATGGCTTGTGTACTACGTTGGTCTGATCCTGAGAAGTTAATTTATGGTAAACGTTTATTAATGGGAACGATTCAATTATATATTCGATCGGAAAGAGGAATTACTACTTGGACAATTTTAAAAGATAAACTGAAGAATGAGTTTAAAAGTTGTATAAACACAGCTGCTATTCATCGTTCACTGTCTGAGCGATTTAAGAAAATTGATGAATTATATCAGCAGTATGTTTTCAAAATGAAACAGATTGCTCAACTAGGCAATATTGAAGAAGATTCTTTTATTGATTATATCATAGCTGGTATAAGAGACTTGGAAGTCAACAAGATGATACTGAATGGCGCTACATCCATTGATGAGCTAAAATTGAAACTTGAACTGTATGAGAAAATGAAGTTAAACGTAAAGGCAAATACAAAGTCAAACATAAATTTCAGCGAAAAAAAAAATTGAATGAATTGCCTAATGCTTCATTTAAATCATATAAATATGAAGGTCAATCAGCAAACATTAATCGTTGCTTTGTTGAAGTTAGATGAAATCACAATTCGTAAAGATAAAATTTTACTAGGAGGACCAGGTGGAGTTAAGTTCTACACAGAAGGTGTATTTACTTGCAAATTAAGTGTAGATCCATCTACACTTAATTATTATATACTATTGATATTTATGTTGTTCCTGATGAAGTCATTACATGTGACCTGTTAGTAGGAAAAGTTATATTTCAAACAAGTGCTGAACTGCACATAAATCCTAATTGTGTGAGAATAACTAAATTTAAAGAAGAAGAAAATCATATAATGTCTATTAATATACCTTGTAATGAGCTCAACATAAGTGCATCAACATATACAGAGGAAATTAATAATATAGTGAAAGATTATAAACTAAATAAAGTAATACATGCACCGATTGAAACAATTATTTTATTAATGGATGAAAAACCAGTATATCAAAGACCACGGCGCCTATCTCCAGCGGAAACATGTGAAGTTGACAAACAAATAGAGGAATGGTTACAAGAAGACATTATTAGACCCAGTTGTTCTGACTATGCTAGTCCAATAGTTTTGGTCAGGAAGAAAGATAACTCTCTACGTCTCTGTGTAGATTACAGGATGTTAAATAGAAAGATATTCAAAGATAGATACCTTTTGCCATTAATAGATGACCAAATATATAAATTACAAAGAGCTTCAGTTTATACATCTCTTGACTTGAGAAATGGATTTTTCCATGTTCCAGTTCATAAAGATTAGCATTAAGTATACTTCTTTTGTCACACCTGGTTTTAGCAAATTTTGTTGGTTGTTTCCTACCAAGACTACTACATGTAAGGAAACCATTGATAAAATGAAAACTTTGTTTACTACTTTTGGGAATCCAGAAAGAATTGTGTCAGAAAATGGAGGAGCTTTTGTTTCACAAGAATTTTCTGATTACTGTAGTAAAGAAAACATCCAACATGTAACGATTACTACAGGAATACCAAGGAGAAACAGGCAAATAGAAAGATTAAATGCAATTATTATTCCAGCCATTACCAAATTAAGTTTGGATCAGCCCGAACATTGGTACAAGAATGTTGCTCACGTACAAATTGCACTAAACAGTTTCTTTCAGAGAAGCATCGGTATGACATCATTCAAGTTGACATTCAGTGTTGAGATGAGACATCCTCAATATTTTAAGTTGACTAAAATAATTGAGGAAGAATATACAAATGCTTTTGTGGAGGAAAGAGATGAATTGCGTAAGGAAGCAAAAGAACAAATTTTTAAAGCTCAAGAAGAACAGCGTAAAACTTTTAATAAAAAGAGAAAGGAAGCACATAAGTATCACCAAGGTGATTTGGTTGCTATTTTGAGGACACAATTCAAGCCACTTTCCAAAATTCATAAAAAGTTTTTGGGCCCATACCAAATAACCAAACGTATAGGACCAGACAGATATGAAATGGTCAAAATTGGTGAGTCTGAAGGTCCCATTAGAACATCATCTGGTGTTGACTATATGAAGCCATGGAGCCAAATAGATACAGATGATGAAGAAGAGATGGAAAACTGTCAATCAGTCGAGACGACTGATCAAGAAGAGGGTCGAAATGTGGGTACTATTGGTATCTAGATGGCACCNTTATTTTTTTATACATATTTATTATTTATATAATAAAAGAAAAGCATTACCTGAAATGTAAAGAAAACAACAATAGAAGTTTATATTATAATATTAATTAAAATTTTATAATTAAAATTATTTAAGTGTTGCAAAAGAAAAATAAGTAATTTGTAATACTCTAACTATATCATGTGTGTCGACTGCTATGATGATAAGAGCATACATCTTCTTATCATTCATATCAGTCGACCACACAATGAACTTAAAATTTAAAATTACAATGAATATATAACGTTGTTTTCTTTATATACAGTAGAACTCCAATTATCCGAACTCCGATCATCCGAATCGCCGATTATCCAAATCACTTTCAGAAAAAATCAGAAAAANAATGGAGGAGCTTTTGTTTCACAAGAATTTTCTGATTACTGTAGTAAAGAAAACATCCAACATGTAACGATTACTACAGGAATACCAAGGAGAAACAGGCAAATAGAAAGATTAAATGCAATTATTATTCCAGCCATTACCAAATTAAGTTTGGATCAGCCCGAACATTGGTACAAGAATGTTGCTCACGTACAAATTGCACTAAACAGTTTCTTTCAGAGAAGCATCGGTATGACATCATTCAAGTTGACATTCAGTGTTGAGATGAGACATCCTCAATATTTTAAGTTGACTAAAATAATTGAGGAAGAATATACAAATGCTTTTGTGGAGGAAAGAGATGAATTGCGTAAGGAAGCAAAAGAACAAATTTTTAAAGCTCAAGAAGAACAGCGTAAAACTTTTAATAAAAAGAGAAAGGAAGCACATAAGTATCACCAAGGTGATTTGGTTGCTATTTTGAGGACACAATTCAAGCCACTTTCCAAAATTCATAAAAAGTTTTTGGGCCCATACCAAATAACCAAACGTATAGGACCAGACAAATATGAAATGGTCAAAATTGGTGAGTCTGAACGTCCCATTAGAACATCATCTGGTGTTGAATATATGAAGCCATGGCGCCAAATAGATACAGATAATGAAGAAGAGATGGAAAACTGTCAATTAGTCAAGACGACTGATCAAGAAGAGGGTCGAAATGTGGGTACTATTGGTGTCAAGATGGCACCACTTCCAGGGTCTGGAGGTAGATAGTGGTATCATTATAGTGGCATCAAGTATTATAAGAAAGGAAAATTAAGTCAAATCGTGAGTCGGCTAAGACGTGTCTCTATGTACATTTTTTATTTTGTATATGTGTTCTGTTTTATATAATATTTTTGTGTTGTGTGAATTTTCGTGTGTAATTAAATATATGTGTTATTTTTGGTTGTTACCTTTAACAGAGCTTTTGTGTATTAATTTATATATATTTATATATATATATATATAATGACCTTTATAATCTTGTTGGATTAATCCCTTTTTATTTTAATAAAAACCCAAGTTGCGTCTCTGTACTGAAATGTAAAGTTATATTTTATTTTTTTATACATATTTATTATTTATATAATAAAAGAAAAGCATTACCTGAAATGTAAAGAAAACAACAATAGAAGTTTATATTATAATATTAATTAAAATTTTATAATTAAAATTATTTAAGTGTTGCAAAAGAAAAATAAGTAATTTGTAATACTCTAACTATATCATGTGTGTCGACTGCTATGATGATAAGAGCATACATCTTCTTATCATTCATATCAGTCGACCACACAATGAACTTAAAATTTAAAATTACAATGAATATATAACGTTGTTTTCTTTATATACAGTAGAACTCCAATTATCCGAACTCCGATCATCCGAATCGCCGATTATCCAAATCACTTTCAGAAAAAATCAGAAAAAAATTTGTCCAAAGTCCGCGGCGTCAGTGTAGGCACAACACGTGGTAAGAGTTCCCACTCCAGTTCCGGCGCATTGCAGTCACCTGTCATTGTTTATTTTGATTAGTCAGTGAATGGGTCCCGGTCCCCATTAATTCGGATAATTGGAGTTCTACTGTATNAATTTAAAATTACAATGAATATATAACGTTGTTTTCTTTATATATATATAAATTAAAAAATAGTATTGCGTCTTCGCTCTGTTCCTGTGGTTGCCTGTTGTGTTTCCCACATATATATATACAGGGTGATATTTTTATCATAACCCACTCAATTACCTACAGAATAATAATAATTAAAAATTTTTTTTTTATTATTATATTTAGTTACACATTATTCTTGAATTATTAACTATGTAATACTTTTTAAGTTCATCCCTTATCCCTGGTAAGGGTGTCAACTTTGTTTTTTTAAATGGTAACACATATTTTGAATTTAATAAAATGTTAGAGTTTTCAATTCAATTGTAAATGGCATTTGAATTTTTAATGAAACTTAATTTGTTTATTAGATATAAACATTTAAAGTTTCAAATTTTTGAGTTAATATATAGGTATAATACACAAGGGATTACAAATACAGGTAGCTAATTGGTTTTTTATGATATTGCTATCACAGTCACGGATTGTTTATTATCAATTATGACTATCAATAGATATACATTCTATATTGTCAGTTAGTGTATTTATAAACTCACAACAATGTGTCTTACTACCATTGATAATAACAATGCTTTGTACCTGCTAATATCGATGTCATAAAAAACCAATTAGCTACTTGTAATTTTAATCCCTTGTGTAATACACCTATATATTAACTCAAAAATTTGAAACTTTAAATGTTTATAACTAATAAACAAATTAAGTTTCATTAAAAATTCAAATGCCATTTACTATTGAACTAAAAACTCAAACTTTTTATTAAATTAAAAATATGTGTTACCATTTAAAAAAATAAAGTTGTCACCCTTACCAAGCATAAGGGATGAACTTAAAAAGTATTACATAGTTAATAAATCAAGAATAATGTGTAACTAAAGATAATAATAAAAAAAAATTTTTAAATTATTATTATTCTGTAAGTAATTGAGTGGATTATGATAAAAAAATCACCCTGTATATATATATGGTACAAAAAAGAATTTTGTACCATCAGAACACATTTCTGTAGCTCACTTTGTTCGTGTACTATTTAAATTTGTTATTAGGCTTGAATAATTTTATTAAAAATATGTAAAATCAAAAAATTGAGAAAACATAGCATATTGCATTATAATTATGTTTCATTTAACACTTTCTAGTGATAAAACATGAATTGTCCCAAGCAAGTAATATAAACAATATTATTAATTTTATTATGTCTTGATACCAGAAAAATTAGCTATACTAAATTATTGTTAGATAATTTATTGTTTACTCAACTAAGAATTTGTTTGTAAAAATGTAATATCTCATTCCCGATTGTATTAATCAATAACCTAAACATAGCAAAATTTACCTTGATAACTTTTTATTAAATACATCCATATATATATTTATTAAAAAGAAGTTTGTACTATCGGGAACATTTCTGTAGCTCACTTATTCGTGTTCTTTAAGTATGTGCGAGTATTCGTAATTACCTTAATGTATATATAATATTAAAAAAATGATAACAACTTAATATATAAATATGTTTTATTAAATACTTTCCAGAATTAGACGTTGAAATGTTCTTCAAAAGTAAATAATTATAATTTATATTAAAATACATTTTAAAACATTACATTTATAACACTTAATAAAATTATAATGAAAATTTCAGTTTATGCTTTATAATTTAAAGTTCATATATTTAGTTGACAGTATTTGAATTTATTATATTATAACACAATACAATTATTACTTAATAATTAATTTGTAATAAATAAATTTAAAAATTCGTAAAATTAATAAATAATTTAAAAGTGACTAAATTTGCTTTTAATTTAATTTAACCACCTTATTATAAATAACATCCATATATAAATGTATAAAGAGAAAGTTTTAACAATCACAAACATTTCTGTATCTCACTTTGTTCGTGTTCTATATGAATTTGTGTGTTACATATTTTTATAAAAAATATGCCAAATCAAAATATTAAAAAAGCTTTGTAAAAAATTTCATTGTATAACTTTCCAGTGATAAAAGAAAACATATCGTACACAAGTAATATACACTAATTATTAATTTTATTATGCCTTAATATCAGGAAAAAAATTAACTTTATTAAAATATTGTTGGCTATATTACTGTTGAACCAACTAAAAATTTGTTGGTACAAATTTAATATATCTCATTCCTGATAATGTTAAGAAATAACCTAAACATGGCTAATTTGATCTGGACTACTTATTTAGTAAATACATCCATATACAGATGTATAAAAAAGTAGTTTGTACCATGGGGAACATTTCTATAACTCACTTTTTCGGATTCTTTAAGAGTGTGTTAATAGTCTCGTGTAACTTACTTTATAATAATGTTTTTTTTATAAAAATTTCCAGATGAAGATGCTATAATTAATTTAAATAGTAAGAAATTATTATTTATATTATAATATATTTTAAAACATTATTGCATTTAAAACACCTAATAAAATGATAATGATTTCATTTTATATTTAATAATTTATATTTCATATTTTATGTTGATAATATTTGAATGCTTTATATAATATAATATAATTTTTAGTATATCAATAATTTTTAATCAATACATTTAAAAATACTAAAATCAATGAATGATTAAAAATTGGTTAAATCTGAAATGATCTGAAAATGATGAATTGTTTATTATTATTTTAAACCAGAAAATAATGTTAGCTGTAGTAAATTATTGTTAACCCAATTAAAATTTTGTTAACACAACAATAATAACTAGTTCCTAATAAAATTATGAAATAACCTAAACATAGCTTAATATATTTTGCTATCTTCTTACACCTATATCCATATGTATAAAAGAAAAGTTTGTACCATGAGGAACATTTCTATAGCCCATTTATTTGTCTTTCTTAAAAGCGTGTGAGTAGCATCGTGTATTTTAATGAAGGATTTGCAATATTAAAAAAAATTATAACACCTTATTTCATAGAAATGTTTTTTTATAATACATTTCAGTTTTAAACGATGAAAATATCTTAAAAAGTAAGATATTATAATTTATTATTAACACATTTTAAAACATCATTGTATTTAAAACAACTAAAAAAATTTGAATGAAATTTAACTTTATGTTTTATAATTTAAAATCCATACTTTTATGTTTATTGACAATATTTGAATTTATTATAGTATAACACAATACAATTTTAACTAAATAAATTTAAAAATTCATAAAACTATTAAATAATTTAAAAGTGACCAATTTGCCTTGACTAACTTCTTACAAAATACATTTATATTTATATATATATATGGTATAAAAAAGAAGTTTGTACTACCAGACAAATTTCTGTAGCTTACTTTGTTCGTATTTTGAATTTGTGAATAACTTATTAGGCTCGAATATATTAAAAATATGAAAATTCCAAAAATTAAGATAATTTTATATCAAATTTCATAATAAAAATTTTTCTTACAATACTTTCTAGTGATAAAAAATGAAATACCCTACACAAGTAATATACATAATACTATTAATTTTATTATTCCATAATACCAAAGAAAACACGAAACTATAAATTATAATTTCAGTTTACTAATAAAAATTAATAATTTTTTATTTTTATCAGTTTAAAAATCTTGCACTAGTCGTATATTATCTAATCTAATGTTATTTTAAACTAATAATTATTATAGTGATGTATTAAGTTATATTGGTCGTACTGTATTATATATTAATAGTATCATTCATACTTAATAAAATTTATGATAACAACAAAATTTACTCATGAAAAATGTATTGCTGTTTATTTGCTAGTATTTTTTATTTAATTTTCCGTGTTACTTTTTCAATGGAAGATAAAGAAAATCAATTGTTAATTGATCTTTCTCATAAATTCTTAAATTAAAAAACAAAATATTTGAATAATCTTTTGCAATGCAAAATACTCAATAATTATGGCAAAATATAACAGAAATTTTAATTCAAAATATTGGGCCAAAAATTTTTTTCTTAGAAATCTCTTTTTAGGTTATCGTTATTTTGAGATATTCTTTAACATTTCTAAAATTGAGGGGTTTGTTCCAATTTTTGATGGCAATATATTCAGCTATATTAAATCGGGTTCTATTGACGTACTGATTATTAATATCTGTTCAGCGAGAGCTGAGAATGTTTATGGATAGTTATAATAAACTAACGCACACTCCCACAAACCTTTTTAACTTCGCATCACGGGGAACTTTACTGTAGCTCACTGTACTGGGTTCTTTAAGAGTGTGTGAGTAGCATTGTATACCTTAATTAAAGATATACAATATCAAAAAAATATATAACTTAATGTATGAAAATGTTTTTTTATAAAACTTTCCAGATTTCAAAAACGAAGAAAAGTTAAAAAGTAAGAAATTACATTTTAAATTATAATACATTTTTAAATATTATTTTAAACACCAAATATAATTATTACGCAATTTTCAGTTTATATTTTATAATTTAAAATCCATATTAGCTTCGATGCGAACTGAGAAGGTATTAATTTTACTATGATGTGTTTTTTTTGTGACTGTTACCACTTTTTCTCAGCTCTCACCGAACGGATTTCTTTCAACAATACATCAAAGATCGCCAATGTACCACGACCCCCCTGTGCTGGATTGTTTGATAATATATGATTATTTAATATAATAAAATAATAAAATTTTTAGTAAATACATTTAAAAATACTTAAAATAATTTAATAATGACTAGATTTTCCTTGACCACCTACTAACTAATATACAGGGTGATATTTTTATCATAACCCACTCAATTACCTACAGAATAATAATAATTAAAATTTTTTTTTTTTATTATTATCTTTAGTTACACATTATTCTTGAATTATTAACTATGTAATACTTTTTAAGTTCATCCCTTATCCCTGGTAAGGGTGTCAACTTTGTTTTTTTAAATGGTAACACGTATTTCTAATTTAATAAAATATTTGAGTTTTCAATTCAATTGTAAATGGCATTTGAATTTTTAATGAAACTTAATTTGTTTATTAGATATAAACATTTAAAGTTTCAAATTTTTGAGTTAATATATAGGTATAATACACAAGGGATTACAAATACAGGTAGCTAATTGGTTTTTTATGATATTGCTATCACAGTCACGGATTGTTTATTATCAATTATGACTATCAATAGATATACATTCTATATTGTCAGTTAGTGTATTTATAAACTCACAACAATGTGTCTTACTACCATTGATAATAACAATGCTTTGTACCTGCTAATATCGATGTCATATAAAACCAATTAGCTACCTGTAATTTTAATCCCTAGTCTATTATACATGTATATTAACTCAAAAATTTGAAACTTTAAATGTTTATATCTAATAAACAAATTAAGTTTCATTAAAAATTCANTATTATACATGTATATTAACTCAAAAATTTGAAACTTTTAATGTTTATATCTAATAAACAAATTAAGTTTCATTAAAAATTCAAATGCCATTTACAATTGAATTGAAATCTCAAATATTTTATTAAATTAGAAATACGTGTTACCATTTAAAAAAACAAAGTTGACACCCTTACCAAGCATAAGGGATGAACTTAAAAAGTATTACATAGTTAATAATTCAAGAATAATGTGTAACTAAAGATAATAATAAAAAAAAAAAATTTTAATTATTATTATTCTGTAGGTAATTGAGTGGGTTATGATAAAAAAATCACCCTGTATATATATAAATTAAAAAAAGTTTGTAGTATTAGGAACATTTCTCTAGCTTACTTTTTCGTGTTCTTTAAGAGTGTGTGTTTAACCTTGTATACCTTAACTAAGGATACGCTATATCAACAAAATACAAAAACTTTATAACAACTTAATTTATAAAAATGTTTTATTAAATACTTTCCAGATTTAAACGTTGAACAAGTCTTAGAAAGTAATGAATTAAAATTTATATTATAATACATTTTAGAGACCTAAAAATATATAATGAGAATTTCAATTTATACTTCTTAATTTAAAATGCATATTTTAAGTTTATAATATTTGAATATTATATATTTTTATATTATATAATTTTTAAGAAACATATTGAAAAATATTTAAAATTAATAAATAATTTAGAAATGGCTAAATTTGCCTTGATCACCTTACAATATGCATTTATATATACTGTATAAAAAGGAAGTTTGTACTATTAAAAAAATTCTATATATCACTTTTTTATGAAAATGTGTGTAGCTTATATGGCTCAAATAACTTTACTAAAGATATTCAAATCAAAAAATTAGGATAATTATATAACAAATTTCATTATAAAAATGTTTTTTGTAATAATTTTTTAGAGATAAAACAGGAATGGCCCTTCATAAGTAATATACACAATATTATTAATTTTAATATTTCTTTATACCAGAAAAAATAAATTAGCTGTAATAAATTATTGTTGGAAATTTGTTGGGTAGAGTGTGGCAATTTCTAATACTTGTCCTCGCGCCTACTGTGGTACTCGTGTATGACTGGTTCAAACTAGTGTTGGGCATTTTCGAATATTTTAAACTATCAAATAACTATTTCTATTGAATTTTTTTATTCAACAGAATAGTTTATTTTTAGCATTAACTATCAAATATTAAAAAACCATCGAATAGTTTTAAGAATATTGGATAACTACCGAATATTTTTACTATTAGAATAGTTTTTGAATGACTATAGAATAATTCGAATAGTGGACAACTATCGAATTAGTTTGATATTCACTATTCGATATTACCCTTCACTAGTTCGAACGTGTTCGCGCGTCGATCGGCCATCGTACCTTCCTCAGCGAGCGTCAATAACAATTACCTGTATTAAAAGTTTAAACTAAATACTATATACATAAATATGGTTAGGGGGGCTATTAATGCTAATCCAACAATGCACAAAATAAAACAAATGATAAGAATAAAAATTAGATAAAACAATATGATTACAAACTACTTATACGGTACTAATGGTGATGACTGGTTGATATATGACAGTTGAACTGGCAAAATGTACTGGCGCGAATAATAGTTCAAGATGTACGAATTTAATTATCGATGAGCATATCGCAAGGGCGATAAAGCAATGTTTTAAAAAGAACTACGGGCTCGCAAACATCGTAGAACCATCTAACAAACAAGTTATGGATGGCGGCGAAAAACACAAATATCACAAAAGCGGACTGATAATAACTCGGCGAGACACAAGAATCACGTACACTAGCATCCAAGGTAATAAGTCGCTCACACAACCGGAGGTGGTAGAGCGAAAGACGCTATCAGTCATAAAAATAAGATGTAGCAAAACGCCCTCTGGTAATGCGTATCCAACACACTTCTCAAGTCTCGCGCCTTAAGTAATCGTCAGTCGTAAAATTACCAATTATTTTTCATTTATAGTTCTTTGATCCTTGTTCATTATTAGTTTTTTTAACATTACCGATGTGGAATTTAGAATCCATTGTGTATTTTGCATTTTACGTCCACGATCTATGATTAATGTTTTAACATAATTAAATTTCACATGTCACCGATCTCCTCCGTCTTCAGATAAGTTTTTAATTTTATTCTCAATATGTTATATTTATCAGATTGTAATATTTGCATATAAGTCCGCCTTTTTCTTTACTTTCTAGTCTTTTATTGCAGAACTATAATATGTATTTTCGTATTTTTATATTCATTAAACAGGGTACCAATTTTTCATATCCTTCTTACATCCTAATTTTGTTTCTACAAATAGACAACATCTCACAAAGTAACGGACAATCACCTTTTAGTATTAAACAGTTGCATATTACTAAATGAATGTCTACTAACATTTATATGATTGGGTTGACACACTTCACCAAATATTCCTAGATACATGGTTATATTACGTACAAGTAGAATCATCCAGACAACACAGCTTACGGTGGTGTTGCAATCATCATCAAATCTACCCTGTCATTTTCACCACTACCAAACTTCACCTGTGATTACCTACAATCTTGTGCTGTCATAATTAAACTAAATAACATACCAATCACTATTGCCTCAAACTGCTGTCCTCCGAGACACAACATCTCAGCTTCTCAATTTAACGACTACTTCTCAACAATTAACTCCAATCTTATAATTGGTGGTGACATAAATGCGAAACGCCAAAACTGGGGGTGTCGCGCAACCAACCCGCGTGGTAATGTGCTCTACAATTTTACTAATGTTAAAAAATACTCGATATTGGCTCCACCGGGTCCCACATACTGGTCATATTCTATACGTAAAAAACCTGATATACTAGACATATTTATTAGTTAAGTGCCAAGTAACTTATAATGCATCCCGGAAAATATCTTAGATCAAAATTCCGACCATTCATCAGTTTTCTTAATAGTCAGTGCTTCCCCAACAGTTAAAATGACACCTTCTAAATTTTTTTCTCCTCTAACAGACCGTAACAAATTCCATAACTTAGTAGAACAAAAGATAAATCTAAATGTCATATTAAAAACATATGATGATATTGACAATGCTGTAGATAAACTCACTACTATCATCCAAACAGCAGCCTGGGAGTCACAGTCAAATTCAAATATTCCTCGATCTCCTGGAAACCTCTTATTCCCACAAAACATATGCTTGTTAATAGCTGAAAAAAGGAAAGCCAGAGCATGGTATCAAACCTCTCGCCTACCTTCTTATAAAATAATATACAATAAACTGGCCAATTTGCTTAAAAAATACCTTTCAAAATATAAATCAGATATCTTAGAACAAAAATTACCAAATATATCCTCCTCAGATGGCAGCATTTGGAAAGAAACAAATAAACTTCTTCGGTATAAGGCTAGCTAACCCCCCCACACAAAAATTGACACAACCATTGCTGTAACTGACGAAGACAAGGGCGAAGTTTTCCGTCAACACCTATCTAGAATATTTAAGCTACATCTTGATATCTTTAACCTCATTCTCAGCGCAGAAATAACTCAGTATCTTGACTCTCGCATGCCTCTTTATCTTCCCGAAAAAAGTTTTACACCAAACGAAATTAAATCTACAATAGAGAAATATTATCTTAAAAAATCAACTTAATCGACTTAATTATCACTGAAGTCGCTAGGTACCTACCGAAAAAAGCTATTCTATTTCTAACCCATTTATTTAATTCAATCTTACGTTTTTCATACTTACCACTCCTATGGAAATTCTCCAATATAATTTTAATACCCAAACCTGACAAACTACTGGACTTACCTTCATCATATAGGCCAATAAGCTTATTGCCATTTTTAGTAAAAGTCTTAGAAAGACTAATTCTAATAAGGATTTTACCTTATATCGACACAAATACGATCTTACCAAACTCTCAATTTGGATTTCGCTAAATGCATAGCACAATACATCAAGTACATAAGTTAGTTGACGCAATGTCATTTTCCCTAGACAAAAAATATTATTGTACTTGTGCTTTTCTTGATATAAGCCAAGCATTTGATAGGGTTTGTTATGAAAGCCTTCTCTTCAAATTAAAAAAAAATTTTTCCCCCTCTTTATACTTGCTGCTTAAGTCTTATCTAACTTACCGCCATTTCCAAATCCGGTTTGGATCTTCTGTCTTGGAAATTGAAAAAATTTTCGCTGGTATCCCTCAGGGTGGAATCCTCTCACCCCTTTTATTCAATATTTACACATCAGACCAGCCTGTCTCTCAAAATACTATAGTAGCTGATTACGCGGATGGCAAAGCCATAATCACAATTGATAAAAACCACCAAATTGCATCTTCGAACCTTCAAATTTATCTGAATTTAATGTCAGATTGATACTTGAAATGGCGAATTAAACCTAATCCAATTAAGTCAGTATATACAATATTCACTTTATGTTATTCCTTCTGTCCAAATGTCTCTTTAAATAATGTTCCTATTTCAATGTCTAATACAGTCAGATACCTAGGACTCAATTCGGATAAACGCCTTACTTGGAACGCACACATCCGTATCAAAAGACTTGCTTTAAATGCCCGACTCCGCAGTCTACGTCCCTTGCTTACAAATAATAAACACTCTAAACTAAAAGTTAAAGTTCTTATGTATAAAACACTATTAAAACCAATAAGTCTTCAATTGTGGGGTACTGCTAAAGTATATAATACCAATAAAATCCAACAGTTCCAGAATATTACCCTTAGAAAAATTACGGATGCTCTGCATTTTGTGTTCAACTATACCCTACATAAAGACCTCACAATAAAAACTGTGACAGAAGAAGCTGTAGATTTTTGCAAACGCTTTCATAATCGCCTAAAAACCCCACCAAAATCCATTGACAGAGAGCCACTACACTCAAACCATACCGGGAAACCCCGAGTGTCGTCTAAATAGGAACTGGTGTCGTGACTTATCATAGTAAAAAAAAAAAAACAACCAAATTCTAGACTCTAGACAGCGTTAATTCCAAGCCAAGTGTCACCAATGGGTGATTTCTTAATTGAAAATATTCATGCTACTATTATAATATCATATATAATTATTGTGCTATGTTGTAAAGATTGTGTATTTCAAATTGTAAATAAAAAAAAAAAATTTACATGGGTATGTAAGAGAAGCGAGGAATAGTACAGACCGACTATGTGACACGCGCTAGGAGTAAGTGTGAGAATTACGGAGTACGACACCCAATTTGTGCAAAATTAAATAATCTTATACTTCAGTTACTTTTCATCAATTTAATTTTTATCTGAATTGATCAATTGTTTATAATTATTTATACTAAAAAAAAGTTAGCTGTACTAAATTATTGCTGGATAAATTACTGTTGGCCAAACTGTATTAGCTAGTTCTCAGTAAAATTGAGATATAATCTAAAAATAGCTAAATTTGTCTTGACTCCCTTCTTACTAAATACGTATGTAGACATATGTTAAAAAGGAAGTTTGTATCATCATAACTATTTCTGTAGTTTATATTTTTTAGTAATTTATTAATCTTAAATACCTTTACAAAAAATATACTATATGAAAATATTATAAAAACGTTATAACAAATTTCATTACAAAAATATATTTTTAAATACATTTTAGTGTTAACAAAAGAAATATACTTTACAAGTAAGAAATTATTAAATACATTTTTTTAAACTACATATTTAAATAATATTACATTTTTAAAACACCTAATAGAATTATTATGAGAATTTCAGTATATATTTTATAATTCAGATTCCATATTTTAAGTTAATAATATTTCAATATTTTATATTTAATTTTTTATTTTTAATAAATACTTTCATAAAATTACTTACTTCTTGAGCGCAGTTTAAATATTTAGCTATGATGGTTTTGATGTTTTTTTTTATTGCTGCTCAGGAAAATTCTTATCTCTCATTTGATCAAATTTGATAGTCTATGCAACAAAAGGTCCCGATTTTTATCCAGTTGAACCTAATCATTTATAAAACCACTCAATTTAAGAAATGTTAAAAAATTTCTAAAAATTACGATACTGTAAAAATGACATTTAAAAAAGTATTTTCTCCATTTTTTAAATGCTATAATTTTAGCTTCGATGCGAAGCTGAGAAGGTATTAATTTTACCATGATGTGTTTTTTTTTTTTTATGTATGTGGCCACTTTTTCTGATCTCTCACTGGACCGATTTTTTTCAACAATACGTCAAAAAATTACAAATCGTATCTAGTTCAAGACATTATCCTTAAAAATTAAAAAAATTTTCCTCGTTCCCCGTAAATGGGGGAAATATCCAAAAAAATTTCAGAAAATTGTCATTTTTTTCACTATTTTTTCTTAAAACTACCATAACTTTTTCAAAAATAAACAAATCATGTTAATTTGTTTATTATACTAAAACCTTAGATATTTTCCTTTCATTTGATATCATTTTTTTAAAAATCTAACACTTAACCTGCTCATTGGGGGTGGTTTAAAATAGCAACTTTTTTACAAAAACTAACTTTTGAAAATGTTCCGAAAATACTGCGTCCTTTAAACATATGTCAAATTAAAGCTTATGTCATCTACTATAAAATTAGAAAAAAAAATTTGTCCAGACGATCTATCTTCTATGCGCAAATGGCTACCGTATTCAAAAATATTCTATTTTTGTATTAAAATTCTTGGTTTAGTATTTTATTTTATTTTAAAATATCTTATTAGATAAATACACTGACTTTCAAGAATATTTTATAATTTAATTGACATAGAACAAAGTTCATAATACATAAGAAATTAAACTTAATTAATATTTTGCATTTTTTTTGAGTTAGAATAAAATTTTCAAATCATTTGATATTTATCTCATTTAGATTCAATAACTTCAATAAATATAAAGGATCCTTCACTATAGTCTCCCCTCGTGAGAAGAAATTTATATTCATGTTAATATTATTTTATTATGTGGTTCTTTTTGTGGCTATGATTTACTATATCAACTCTCACTAGACCTACTATTTCAAAGATACGTCAAATGATTACAATTCGTATTTAGTTTTAGTTATTACTCTTCAAAATCGAAAAAATATTCCTTATTCAAATAATAAGTAGCTTAACCAGATTTTTGCATACAAACAATTAAAATAGTTAATTTCTAATATTCTTAAAGTATTCATTGTCGAATTAGATTTGATATGATAAAAGTATTCAACTACAAAAGTAAATCATTTTAATTTGTAATTTATTCATTTTTTAACTCTATTTGTGTGTGCTACTACCAGTCTATAATTTTTTTGTAACATGTTGCTATATAAATAATAAATTTAAAAAAAAATGATTTTTAGTTTCAACTGAATTTAACGATAGATTTTTACAATTATAATCAAATTTTATAATTTGCTCAATTCAATAAATCTCTTTAACATCTTTTTTTTTATTGATTTTTTTAGATATATAATCATTAAAATTAATTAAATTCTAAATATTTCCACTGTAGAATCTTTTTAAAGGCCAAAAATTAATTAGAAATCAATTTCTTAGAATTAAACTCTATATACAGATTTGCATCAAAGCGTTTCTTATGTTAGTGATTTTAATCACTGTCAGTTAAAATCTACACTGGACCCAACTATGCAACGTCTCCACTATGCCTCGACCATACTGTGCTGGGTTTTTAAAATGGCTCATACTAATTAAATTATTTCGAAATAATTTCCATTTTAATTTTTACAAAAAATAATTTTATTTTCAGTTTTAGAATAGCTTCTTATCTTCCCATAGAAGCTAAAAGTTAATGAGATAATGGTTGATCTGTTATTTAAAAAAACAATATAAGTTAAAAATTCATCATCATTTCCTTAGGCATTATCTCATCTATTTGTAGCTGATTCTACCTTACAAATGATTTAACAGGGTTTTTACATTAGCTGTCATCTGCCCCAATTTTATTATGGCTAAGTGTGTGTCACTGTTATTGTTCATGTATAGTCACCTATCAGGGAACCAACAGCGAAAGCATAACCGGACATCAGCACTAAAGCAACGAATGAATTATCCACTGCACCCTTTTAAATTAAGTTAAAAGTTAAGTTGGTAAAATTACACTAATTAAAGGGACAGTTAGTAGCAGAAGGCTTATAAAAATATCATAGGCATAAGATGGACAAATTTTTGTAGCTAAATGTAATTTTTCTCTCTCTAAATTTTATTTATAAAACAATACTTATAATTAAGCAAATATTTTTGAACTATTAAAAAAAAATGTGTTTTATCTACTTTTACATATATAACGAAGTATACCATATATAAATGTTAATACCATTGGTGTCTAGATGGCATCACTTCCAGGGTCTAGAGGTACATAGTGGAATCAAGTATTATAAGAAGGGAAAATTAAGTCAGTCGTGAGTCGGCTAAGACGTGTCTCTATGTACATTTTTTATTTTATATATGTATTCTGTTTTATATAATGTTTTTGTATTGTGTGAATATTTTTCACAGAGTTTTCGTGTGTAATTATATATATATGTGTTATTTTTGTTTGTTAACATTTAACAGAGCTATTTTGTATTAATTTAAATATATATATAAATTAAATAATAGTATTGCGTCTTCGCTCTGTTCCTGTGGTTGCTTGTTGTATTTCCCACATAAATATATGCTATATAGTCGTTAAATGAGCAAAAGAGTAATATGTTAAAATAAATTCAATGTAAAATCTTAATTTCTGCAGTAAGTTTATAAATAACTAAACTTAACTTTAACTTATGGACTTGTTTAAATCCGCCCTTGATATTCTTAGACAATAACTGAATTTAATTATAATTTTATTTGTAATTGTTTCTATAAAATTTAGACATTATATTGGAAGTACTAAAACGAAATGGTAAAGTGTACTAATTAATAAATAAAAAATCATAATGTTATTTTTAATTAACTTCAATCTAAACATCGTGCTTATGACAAAACCGCGTAACTAAACATTTTGAGATTTTATTTTTTGGAGAAATACATAATTTAATATAATATTAACACAAATTTAGAGTTGCTTTCGAATAAAAATTTTCTATTTTGTCTTGAGATAATAAAATATTTAAAATTCTATTTATATTGTTAGTAAAACGAAAAGAGTGATTTGTTTCTTCTTCTTATTTTAGGAAATCGAGTTACATGATTTTGCCAAAGTTTCGATGACGGTTAATGATTACTTGTAAAATAATTAAATAATGAGTTGGTTTTTATTTTTAATTATTTTTTTTTTAATTTTTTTTACAAAATTTGTACTTTATATTTTTCGTACACAGATTTGTTAGTCCGAGGTAACAAAAACCTACACCTAATTACGTTGCTATGTTACGTTGCAACTAAACCCAACCCACCTTAAAAAAACTAAATTTAATAGTCATAGAATTTGAATTAATCATCTCTAAATATTTCATGAGTAAGTAATTACCTTCTCTAAATACCTCCTTACTCTTTACAAGTAGAATCATTGCTAGAATATTATAATTTATCTCACATTTAACATTCTACTCGACAATTACTAAAAATTAATAAAAGTCATAATAATTAAAGTATTAAATTAAATAAAACCTCATACTATTTATTTAACTTTTATTTATTGTGATATATACATGCTAAATTCAATTTTTTTAAGTCTAACCACTTATTAGCCAATATTATTAGGAATAGTATCAACGTTTGCACGACCCGTGATTACTCTAACTAGTCTACTTAATATACCAGACTTAATAGTACCCATTGTTACCCTTGTGTGCACGTTAATATTGGCCAATAACTAAAAACAATAAATACTAATTTTAGAACTAATACAAGTTAAGACATAAGAAGAAGAATTACTAGTGGCACCAATCACCTACAATATTTCATAGTATAAATATTTGGTGCTACTTAGTTATATAATGATTTAATAATATAGTCTTCTTTATTTTATAAATAGCGTGGATAAATACTACTTAACTTCTTCACCTTGACTATAATACTAATAATTTTTGATTAAATACTAGATTTGTTCTATAATCCATGAAAACCCATAAGAACTATAATTTATTACACTGTTATAAAATACTCATCATTTAATAAAAAATTGGGTTGTGAACTTAATAATAATGTGACATATATATATATTGTATAAGTCTTATGATATAATATTTGTACAATATTATAAATAATAATCATATTTTAAATAATTGTAATTTAGTAAATCATTATTTATTTTTTAATCAGAATTCGGTAGTTTGAATTTATTTGTAACATTTATGTGTGAAAATATGGATAACACGTTGGGTAAGAAAAAACTAAATCAAATCTGACATGGGTAGACTCTATGGTATTTTAACTTACTTTATAGATTATTTCATAACAAAAGTTTTAGATTATATTTTTTATCTGTTTTATATATACGTATAATTATAATTGTGAAAAATTACAACTTTCATGTTACTATGAACACTATTATTTAGTTTACTACTTTTAAAAATTTTAAATTGATCCAAAAATCTTAAAAAAAATGATTAAATATTCATAAGCAGAGAGTGTATGTTTCCTACACAAAAGTAAAATTATTGTAATCATTCAATGTAAATCTAAAACGTAAAAGGATTAATCATTATAGAAGATTTTTTGAAAAAATTGTTATTGAATAATGGTTTCTTATAACAAATATATTGGAAAATTGTATTTTATACACTTAAAATTGAAAGATCTCGGATTTAATTTTTTTTTATCTTTTGATCCCTTTAGCACAATACCCTCATATACAGTTTTTATAAATAAAGCAATTTTTTTTAATATTGTTAACTGTCTATACTGTAATGATAATTACTCAATATTTCATTTCAGAGCAATTAAAAATTTACTTTGTTCCACCAAGTGAGTAATTAACGTGACTAAAATTAATGATTCAGTTATTGAATACCCTCCAATAGGTTGTCATTATCGGAATCATTTAAAATTATGTTTATTTGATGCACAACTTAAAAACTGCATTTCACCTACTTTTTAATTGATTTTTTCGAAATATTACTAGGCGATGACATAACTGGTGTATTAGTTCGAGAAAGAATAATTCGCTTATTTCTTATTAAATATCATGGTAAGTATATTTTCTTTAGAAATTTATTTTTTTATTTTTACAAAAATGTAATTTATTATTAAAGTTATTAAATTATTTTGAATCACAAATTTAAATTATGTTTCACCACTAGTTATCGTGGTTAGTCTGTATGAATAAACATTAGGAAAAGAAAAGTCTCACTTTAAAATGAAAATTCCTCTCGTTTAATTCATAACCCGACATAATATTGCCATAGTATTTATTATTAAATTATTAATATTTATTATTAAACCCAACCCAACCTTTGTAGTTACCAATTCGTTCACGTTTTTAGCATTTCAACACATTCACATATTTCACTACTCACTTTCATTATTCACCATTCATCTACTCTATTTTACAGCTAATTATTTAATTGTTTGTTTTATATTTGTATTATTTTTTTCATAGCCCATTAAGTCTACCATTTTAGTAATATGGGCACCCCTTAATTTTAATTTTCTTATAGTAGAATTTTTATATATTTGTTTTATGATCAATTTAATTATTGTCTAATGTCGTAACACAGCAAAAATGATAAAAAAAGGTAAAAGTATAAAATGTGTAACTATGTGTACGAAGATGAATATGAGGAGGTGGTGCCTGCTGTCTAGGTATTCACGTGCGTGTTGTCGTACAGCAGTCACCGTGCTCGGCTGACACTCCGGGTTAGCTGTGGGTGTCGAAAGGCTGTTGTTATAGGAAGGGAGAATAAGAGTAACACCTAGGTATGAGGTGTAGACGAAGTGCAAGACACAAATACATGGGGTATAGGAGAGGACAATGAAGTACGAGGTGCAGACGAAGTGCAAGACACAAATACTTGGGGTATAGGAGAGGACAATGAAGTACGAGGTACAGACGAAGTGCAAGACACAAGTACTTTAGTTAATTGGAGAGAATAATGAAGTACGAGGTGCAGACGAAGTGCAGACGAAGTGCAAGACACAAGTACTTCAAAGAAAGAACGGGGTAGCCGAGTATAAGGTGCAGACGAAGTGCAAGACACAAATACTGGGCGTACCAGATAAGGAGTATAACAAAGTACGAGGTGCAGACGAAGTGCAAGACACAAGTACTTTAGTTATTAGGAGAGGATAATGAAGTACGAGGTGTTGAAGAAGCGCAAGACACAAGTACTCTGAAATGTCGAGGAAAAGAGTATATAGGTTAGAAAAGGAATAAACAATGACTTTATTTTAAACAGTAAGCCGGACAGCGACAACCGAGTACTGAGACTGATGAATGACACAAGGCACTGGAGTCGACTGACCACGATGGTCAGGTCTATTGGGTTTTTATAATAATTAGAACTATTGCCAATTTGGCAATAAATATTATTTGTTAATTCATCAGTCTCAGGCAGCGGATGTGCTGTCTGTATTTTATTAAAATAATTCTCACGATTATGAAAACGTGACACCATCACACTAAAAATCATATAATTTAGGATAAATTTGAACAAATCATATTGAAGTTTGGCAAATTTACTTCCTAATACTTGACCCGACATAATATTGCTGAATATTTATTCATAGTATTTAATATTTAATGCTTAACACATATTTTTATAAAATTGTTTATAAATATTATCAGAGCTGTAGTATATTTCTATTTCTATTATTATTACCTTATAATTGGTTTGAGTTGTTTGAAATCCAAAAAGTCAGTCTTTTTTAACTAGTAAAAATTGATTTCAGTAAGTAATAATATACGAATGAAAGAACCTGAAGAATGGATTAAATATACCAGTAAGATTTATTTATTGAATTTAAAAAATGAGTTCTGTGATATAAGTATTTAATTGTATCTTTATAGCATTGATTATTCTGCACAAATATACAATCCATAAATTCGATAAAAAAAATATACAGATGCTATTAACAATGTTTTGACAAATCTACTAACTTTCGATTCAATGAATACTTTACGTTACTTTTTTTTTTATTAATTTTTACGGGTTTGGACTATGTTAAAAGTATATTATTTTCGTTATTTATCTCTAATAAAAAAAAAAAATTAATCTAATTTTATATTTGTCTTATTAGAGCAAATTAATAATTCGCAAATTTGATGTTACATACGAAGCTTGTTCTAAAAAAAAAAGATATTTTTATATAAAAAGAAATAGTAAAAAATTTTATGTTTTTCTTATTATGTTAATTAATAATTTTATATTAGATATAAATCTTGATATTTACAATGATTTAAGGGTAGATATCCAGTGGCAGAATACAAGTTAAATAGTTTTTTTTTAATATTTGAGATCGTCTCTGCACTATTGCATTTTGAATTCTAAAATTTAAAATATTTGTATTGGGGATATATTCTATACATACTAAAGTATTATATTAAGTATAATTCATTTTTATGAATTAATTCCTATATAAAAAATTATCAAAATTATGAAAACGAAAAACTAATAAAAAAAATTCCATTACTTTTATTCAATCAACACATCATTATACGTCCTACTCTGAAAAAAATTGAATTTTTTCGTACTAGACATATATTAATAAATTATTAAATACTTTCTATAAATACTACATATAGATAGTATTTATTGATTTATTAATGCCATTCCATTTATCAAAATCCTCTATGTAACCATGAAAACGTTTACTTGAGTCAATTTTTCCAATGATAGTTATAATTTGTTCAATAAACGTTATATAAAATTTGATTATAATTGTAACTATGGCCGCTTTTATTGTGCAAATTATTAAGCGTTTAACCATTCATGTATTATATTTTATCTAATATACAATTCACAAAAAAAAAAAACGTATTTATAATTTATATTTAAAATTTTTAAAAATAAAATTCATGCGCCACTTAAAAATTTAATTTAATTTTAAAAACAACCTCAACACCCATAAAAGGGTTCAAATTGAAATCAAATTTAGATTCAATATAATGAAAACAAATATTAATCAAATGTATGTGGTATTCGAATATAATATTCAAAATATGATTTTTGGCCACTGTGAAATGTAGTGAATTATTTGGAATTGTTTTGAAAGATAGTTTGGAGATTGTAGGACTGTGGTTAGTAGAAAGCTTACAATAGAATCTTAGGTAGAGTTTAGATACTACTTTATTGACTGTTTTCTGTTTTTCCGGTTAAAAAAATATGAATTTAATTTTTAAAAAAAATTATTTAATTTAAACAAATTATAACTGTAAATTAATCATTAAAATATTGTGTTTAACATTTGAGTGTTATTTATGTTCAATAATTGAACATAAATTATGTAGAAAGAGCTTGACGTCATTAAAAGTTATTTAATTTAGCTAAGGAAAGATTAAAAGAACTTCTGTATTCATATTTTAATAAATTAATTAACATTATATTAAAGATTACAAAAACTTTATTTGCCCTATTTATGAATAGGTGTAAGACCAACTTTGCTCAAAGAATATCAACGCCGGTATTTTATAATGAAAAAAATTTACAATATTTCAAGAAACGAAATCATAGGATTAACAGATAACACTTTAATAAATCGTTACTGGTATGATTGGCAAAAAAATAATTAAAATTCTATTTGTAATATTCAATAGATAAATAAAATGAATCAATAATTATATTACTAAATTTTGCCATATAAATATATATATATATATATGTATTTTTCGTCAATCCTTAAAATTATCTATTTATTGAAATTTTATAATTATAAATTGAAAAAAGAGTTACACTAAAGTCGACTAGTTGTGCACCGCACTAGTTTTCCATCTTGCCAAAAGCCTGCTTTCTCTTACTAGAGGAGTGGGTGAGAGGAGTCACCTGCTCATCAAATAACTGTACGACCATTAAATGATGCGTAGACAATAATTAAATAGATAACAAAACAAATATATAAAGTTCTTCTATAAGTATTTTTAATTAAGGGGCGTAGACGGGTGTCAATATTACTAAAATGGCAGACTTAATCAGCTATGAACAAAATAGTAAAAATATAAAACAAACAATTATAGACTTCGCTGTAAAGTATAGTAAATGAATGACAATGAGTGGTGAAATGTATGAATGAGTTGAAATGCTAAAAACGTGAACGGATTTGTGACTACAAGAATAGTCGCTTTGAAGTAAATACTTAGGTATTACTAATGTTTTGTTAAAGTTGTTTAATCAATCGATGAAGATTCAACAGTAGCCAGAGAAAAACAGTACGTAAAAGAAATAACAAAAATATGGCGCACTGTGGTCGAATAATAGCACACAAAAGATAAGACACTTGCTGTGAAAACTAAAGTCTTACAATATATCCCGTTGATGAATGACGGTAAACTATATAGGCTGATAGTTGGAGCGTAGGCTGTTGATTTGTAGTGCTGGGTGAGCGAGAGGTTAGATAAACAAAGACGCTAGATATCAGCTGTCCAGTGAAATGAAGTACTCAGCGGAGTTTGTGACAACTGGTGCTCTAAGTCTTTTTTAGGTGCTCTCTAACAAGGAATGAATTTTTTTTTTTATGTTTTATTTTATCTTAAACCCTTGTGATTAAAAAATTAGAAATATAAAATATTAAATAAAAAGGTAAGGACAGTGGAGTCGCTGCACAGTGTGGATTTGGCATATTCGAGACAAGAATTGATGATATCTGACAGTGATAAAAATAACTATCATAAGAAACGCTTCACCTCCATCAACATTTTAAAATTTCTATAATTTTTTTCAAATAAAAGAACTTGCAAAATGTAGACCCAAATACATTAATAACATAATACACGTATAAATAATTTATAAATTGTATACATTATCTAATATTTAGAATTTGTTAATTACACATATATATACACATCTTACCTTCAACAAGTTTAATATTTTAAGGTTAATTTTTTTAAATCAAATATTGAGATATACATTGTTATTAAGTTTGATTTGTATTACTAATAATAGTTCTGGGTTTGAAAACATTGTAAGTACAAAGTCAATAGACTTATCATCAAGGATGATCCGATTGTGTCCGGTTGTCTGTACGCATTAGACAAACCGATATCTTCAGCTCATCTTGGTCACCCTTTGATTACCCTCCTACTATGCTCCAGAGCGGTTGACTTTTTAATTATAACTTGACATTATTTATCCAGGCTATTCTTTTCGATTAATTTTTATTTAGTTAATCCCATTCATCCAGACAAAAATATTCTGATGAGGAATCGGAGCTAAAACTGCTCGACGGAACATGACAATATCTAATTGGTTCATTCTTTGCATATCTTTTTCATCTATCGTCGGTTATTTTATAATTTTAACCATTAGCATCATCGGCTATAAAAATTTAAAAATCTTGTACTAAGGTTATATATATATATATTCAAAGGCGTAAAGCATTTGAGTAAATGTATTTGAATAAAAGTATTCAAATACTTTCATTGGTATTGAATAGTATTTTTAAATACATTTAATAAAAAGTATCTGAGTAGTATTTTAAATACAATTATTTAGTATTTAATACTGTTTAATATTCAGTACTATTAATATACTTTTTTTTTTTTAATTTGCTAACCGTAACACAGCAAACAAATTAAACTCAGTCAAAATGAAAATTGAGAATAATTCTCTGTTATTTTATATGTTACATTATAGTATAACATAATTATTGTGCTTATCTAAATGCTATTATGTATACATCTATTTTTAATACATCAGTTGAACCTACAATAGCCTATTTCAGGTTCAAATGATTTACTCTATTGTCAATAAGACATACTTTACACGTGTACTAATATTTATTTTTTTCACCGATTAGTTTCCAATAATTAATTTTATTTACCTCTAACAAAAAATATCGAAAATAATAAATGAGTTCTCTTAATTTAAGAGTACTCCATATTTGACTCAAATTACCCTCTTGGTAATTATTTAGGTGGGACCTTTTGCTCTTAGTTAAAATAAAAACATTATTATTATTTTTTAATTGTATTCTTAGTATTTGAAATACTTTTGTAAAGTAATTGAGTATTACTCAAATACTTTTGTATGAAAAGTATTCAAATAGTATTTTAAATACATTTTTTTTTAAATATTTGAATATTATTTAAAATACTTTTTAAAAGTATTTTTTACAACTATGTTTATTTTTAAGAATGTCTTATTGACTACTTTTTAAACTTTTTTAACTGGGTTGTTAGACCATAATTCTTTATTTTTAAGAAGTGTTTAAAATGAGATTTATTAATATTCATTTCATATTCACTTCATAAGTATAACAAAAAAAAGTATATAAACATAGCAAAAATATGTATTTGAATGCGAAAGGGCTTGCGACATGACTATATGAATTTACATGTTTAAATTTTTTATAAATTCATTGGAATACATATTAATATTTAATCATTTAGAAAACATGGATTTTTAGGAAATTATTTTTGAATTTTTATATTACTTACATTTGCACTAAACTCAATTCTTAATTATTAAAAAGGTAACCTTTAATTTAATACCCCCTTTGATTTTATCCATTAAGTTCATTGATAGAGCTGGTCTATCAAATTTACCTTTGTTTTTAATATTATTATCCGCTTTTAGAAGCGTTGATAAAGTTTGGGGAATTGGCGGAGCTGAAGGTATAAAATCTGGAAAATTTTTATATTTAGATAACATAAATAGTGACTTTTTATGTGTATATAAAAGTACTATCAAAGGGTTCATTTATTGAAGATTTTTTTCATCTATAATTGGTTTTTCTAATACTTTAACCACTGGCTTTACCGGCTATATAAAATTAAAAAATCAAATACATGTACTAATGTTTTATATATTTAGAAATATTTTGATTCAAGTATAATTAATATCGGTGAAATCATCTCATCTAACTTGATTTGTAATTCAAAATATTTTAATATTAGGATGTGTTAAAATATAATTCATTAATATATGATCTACTTCATAAGTACGAAAAAAACATTTAAAACTTTAAAAAAATGTAACTATAATCACTATATAGGGAAAATTCGACTTATAGAAAATTATATTGCTTTATTAAGCTATAATATAGAATTTGCACCATACTTAATTATTAATTGTTAAACATTTTACCCTCAATTGAACACCGCGTTTGATTTCATCCAAACTTAACCTTGGTTTTTAATATTATTATCCGCTTTTAGAAGAGTTGGTAGAACTTGGAAAAGTGACGGAGCTGGAGGAATAAGATCTATCAAATTTTCATATTTTAAAACATACAGAGTGACTTATTATAATAAAATTAATCTAGTACTTAAATTTATCAATATATACAAACATTTTCTTATTGTTTTTTTCTATAAAATTTCAAAATATAGATTTATCATTAATGTGCCGTAAGTCCTTCAACTCGGTTAGTCTTTTGTTCATATATATTTCCTCTTCCTTAAGTTTTTCTGGATCACTATTATTGTTTATCAAATAATCGGTAGATTCCCTTAAAAAATTCTGAACGATTCCTTGGATAAATTTGGACATTAAATCTTGAATTTGATCTATTAAATATAATTTTGGTATAAATTCTGGATACTTTAAAACAATTAATAATATGTGTAGCCAGGGGTACATTTCCTTATTTTTTAAACTGAGTTATTATATATCTTTATAGAATAATAATTTAAAATATGAATAACTACTTTGAATGGTATTTTTCAATTTTGGGTTATTTAAAATTTCACGTTTTATTGATTTCTTTAAGTCGGTTATTTTGTCGGGCATAGTTTTTGTCCACTGTCGCGTTTTACTAGTACTATACCATTTATTATAAAACACTGGTTAGATTCTTCTGGATGGATAAAGTCTTGAATCGAATCTATAAAATGAGATATAGTTATAAAATATGGACTTTTAATAAGTCCATATTTTAAAACATATTAAAACATCTAAAAAATATAATAGTAGAGAAGTGTAAGAGGTCATAATAAATTAAATATAATAGAATATAAAGTATTTAAAGCCACTAATAATCAACAAGATTCATGTATATTAAGTCGAATTGACAAATCACAATGCATTTATATTAAGGGGTAATATCCACCAAATGCTCAAAAAATCAAGGCTTTTTTCATGATTTTTTTAAAAGGACATTTGAGATGTAAGGTATATAAATAATATACCATTGGATTAAGCAACTCTTGGAGAATAGAAAAATATGTTTTATTGTTATTTTTTTTATAAAATGGCGGCTGTGCAGCGATTGCCGTGAACTGCTTTTTTAAAAAGTTCTTCCGCGGCGAGCAGTAGAAGTCGTGCCCAACTCCACCTATAACAAAAGAAAAATTTTTTTCATTATCTACACGAGTGTCGCTAGTGAAGTACACATGATTATATTTTTAGAATTTTTTTTCGCAAAATGGCGACGGTTTGAAAAATTTTTTTTTTTTTCGACAATAAAAATCGACTATAATTGTTTATAACTTTTTTTGTTGTTAACCAATCGCTAAAATCGTGTGTACTTCACTAGATAATCTACAGAAGAAGCTACAGTTAAAATTTCAAGTCAATCGGATGTAAACTTTTTCAGTTCTACTGCTCGCCGATTTTGATAACATGGTTTTGAGAAAAACGCGTTTAAAGTTTCAAAATGCTATAAATCTTAAGAATCGCAATAATATAGTCCTTAATAATTTTTTTACCTTCAGTCAGCTATCCCTGCGCCGTAAAGTTGTCCTTCCTGGTCCTTATTTTCCTCTTCTTCCTTTTTTTTGTCTGATGTAAGGCTGCTCCTAGCCTCTTTCGCGATATCGGACATACGATGATCAGAGACTTTGACGCGATTGGCGTCCGATCCTACGCAAAACTCGTACATGTTCGGTCCAACGGTTAACCCAAGAGCATCATAAACGACAAACATACCGGATAAACCTTCGTTGAAAATAATAACGGCTACATCAGTCGCAATATCAACTATAATCTTATCGCTAGATATCGTTTTTGGAGCAATTGACTAAAAACACTAAAATTGACAAAAAACACTACAGCATTGAAATACTCGTTACTATTTTGAGAATACGCACCCAAGCAGCGTGACTGAAGGTTGTCGGAGCTGAGTTCTTTATACATGGGTTGTATCGCCTTGAAAACATCCTCATGCATTGGACTCTTGTGCTCGTATGTTGCAAGAGTACCAAGCGCTTTACTGTGCTGTCAAGAACACCAAGAACACTCTCTTTGTGCGAAGGGTACACCTCCTCGTACTCAGCAGTACCTTCTTTTTTTTTGCCAATATTCACACACTTTACAGTACTTTGATTTTACACACACATCTAATACCTTGCCAGTGTGCCAACCAATTAAAGTAACTAATCCAAACAAAGATGAAAACCCCCTCTTACGCCAAGATCCATTGCCTGACACCGTAAGACCGCCTTCTTCACCTCGTTCAATAGAACGTTCTTTCTCTTCAATAGCTGATTTTTTCATAGAAATAATTTTAACAGATGAAGTAGCAGTGCCAATATTGGAAATGATCATACTGTAAGTTGTTTGAAAAATAGGCTTTGCGAGATCCATCATCGCACAGAACTTTTTTATACCGTTGATGTCTATGCCAATGATGCGCATAGCAAAAATAATACGGCAATTGATCTCATAAGCACGATCATGTATTAGAGGACAGTTAAAAATATCGGCATCACCGCAGTTCGAACAAGACACAACAATCTTGAAGCCTAGTCCACGCTTGCTCGACTGTGAAAACCGCACATCACTATTACATTTTTTACATACTAATAATTCAGAAAGAGCAGTAAATACAGCGAAAAAAAATGTATGAAACAGTAGCCGAAATCCCTATCAACATCGCAATCACGATTTAAATCAGAAGTTTTTAATTTTCTCGCCTTATTTCGAATAGCCTTCGAAGCATAGCGGTTAGGCGGGTATCGGTTACTAATTTTACTCCGGGTTGTTCTGGTACTTCTTGTTTTACTGCCTTTGTGGCCACTGTACAACTTGTTACTCATAATTAAGTACTTTTGAATATAAGTCACAGTTAAAAAGTATAGCAAAACTCAAACTAAGAACGTACACAACTAGAACGGCTGATCGACTAAACAAAGGGAAATTGTGAGTAAACACGTGCTGTACAGACGCTGTAACGATCGAAATTCTATACTTCATATTCAAAAAAAGATATCGATCATAGGTAACTTCTACTAATTTACAAAGCCGCGAAATTAAAAAAAAAACGAGCATCGCTAAAATAAGCGAAAAATGTGATTTTGGAGCATAAAAGTTGTTTGGAAAAAATTGATTTAAACGAATTTTGAGTTTAGATCAGTACTTGGGCGTTGAAGATTTTGATTCTAGGATAGTTTTAGCATGATTTAAGCCAATAAAAAAAAAAATGAAAAAAAAAAAAATTTGGTGGATATTACCCCTTAAGAGGATTAACGTATTCTTTTTTCAGAAAATTTGTTTGAGTTTTTATTATATCTTATAATAAATTTAAACGGACTAAGTGTTTTTGGAAAATTACAAAAATATTGTTTAAATGCATAAATTTACAAACTGTGTGTGCAATGCCGGCTATATTTTCTTTAGTATCGGCAATTTGCGATTTTGTAACCTTTTTGTTTGTTTAATCAATACGATTGACCATATGTATTTTTGGGCATGCCTTAGCGGAAGGAAGGAAAATATAAAATTGTGGAAATTGAGCCTTACAAAATACTATAGATAGAAAGAAAAACAACATATATATATATTCACAATATGATATTTCCGTTATGATAGAAACATAATAAACAAACAAGACCCAAATGATAAATAGAATTAGCTAAAATTAATAACGAAAATAATAACATACATCTCCTGCTTATAACTAATACATATTCTGTGGACTGTAAATCCGTAAAATAACAATAAAAAAAACCCAGCACAGGGGGGTAGCGGCACAGTGGGGATGTTGCATAGTTGGGTCCAGTATAGATTTAATCTGACAGTGATTAAAATCACTATAAAAAAAAAACGCTTCGATGCAAATCTTTAGATAGTGTTTAATTTTAAAAAATTGGTGGATTATTCCAAAAGCTTCATAAACTGCTAGTTCCTTATTAATATCCTGATTAAGATAAAGTATGTCGAATAAAAAAGGGATTATTAAAAAATAGTATTTCCTATAAAAAAATTAATTTGATGAATACACTTTTCAATAAGTTATAGCATTATAAAGTTAAAAATGTAAAAAATAAAATTGAGAATTTTCACACAATAATAGCATTTGGTAGCCATTTTCACCNGTTAAAAATCATATTAACTTTGATGTCTGCTCTCATCGTGAAGACAAAATAAAGTCCGAAATTTGTTTTTTAAAATAATAAATTAGATTACATTAGCTTTAATTTAATATATATAAAAAAGTGTCAGACTTTCCGGAACACTTTCAAAATTTAAGTTGAAAAAGTCAATTTTTTGTGAAAAAGTTGTCATTTTGAATCCCCCCCTGTAGGCAGGTAAAAAGTCAGATTTATAAAAAAAATATATCAAATGATAGGTAAAAACATCATGCATCTACAAAAAAAAAGAATTATATTGATCCATACATCTTTCAAAAAGTTATAGCATTATAAAGTTAAAAATATAAAAAAGAATTTTTTTACAAAAATCGTATTTTTTTTTTTANTAAAAAAGAATTTTTTTTATAAAAATTGTATTTTTTTTATTAAGTTTAATTCATGTTTTCACCATGAAGATAAAATAAAGTCCGAAATTTTTTTTTACCATTATAAAGTATATTACATTAGCTTTAACTATTTAAGATATATATAAAAGTGTCAGACCTTACGAAACATTTCCAAAATTTAAGTAAAAAAAATTAATTTTTTGTGAAAAAGTTGTCATTTTAAATCCCTCCTTGTGGGCAGTTTAAGGGTTAAATTTATGAAAAAAATATACCAAATGAAAGGTAATGATATTATCCATCTATATAAAAAATAATTATATTGATATGTTCATTTTTGAAAATGTTATGGCACTTTTAATTAAAAAAAATTAAAAAAATATCGAAAATTAGCGATTTTTAAATTTGTAATTTTTTTGGAGGTTTCCTCTATTTACGGCGAACTAGGGAATTTTTTTCAATTTTTAAGGGTAATGTCTTCGACAAGATACGATTTGTGACCTTTTGACGTATCATTGAAAGAAATCGGTTCGGTGAGAGCTGAGAAAAAGTGGTAACAGACACAAAAAAAAAAAAAAACATCTTTGTAAAACCAATACTTTCTCAGCTTCGCATCGAAGCTAAAATTATTATTAATTACCCACTGCTGTTTGGAACTGATGAATAATGTGAAGTCCGGATACAGAAAGGGCAAAGAACACCGTCACATACAGCAAAAACGATAAGCAGCTCAATTCAACGACTATGGTGACAAGGTAATTCACGACCCAATTACTTGGCATCGATATGACCGAAACGACCAAAAGAGAGAGCACGAATTAATGTTTCACGACCACTACCACACACACAGGGACCGGTCTAAACAGCAGCGCCGCCGTACCGTTACGAAGGTCGTGGTTTTTTAGTAGGAAAAAACATTGAAGGTCGGGGCGTATATTATATAAAAAACGCGGAATCTCCGGAATACTAGACGGCTACAGAAAAAGATGAAAACAAATTGCGTTGTGTCAGCGGCATAACCGTTGTGACAAACACAAACGTGTATGATGTGATCGACTGACCTGCTCTCCCTCACTTACCGTGTTTTCATATTAAATTAAATATATTGCGTCACCTCACATTAATGTGTATCTAACACTGTGCTTACAATTATACGAGAAAATGACGAGTCTCCATTCGCAGCAACGTTTTCATTTATTGTCTTGATATCAGCTACATTTTTTTTATTCTTTCTTTTACACAACTTCCTAACAAAATTTATAACTCTTTTAAATACGTTTTTTTTTTGTGGCATTGTTGTATTTTATAGAAATATAAACACTATTAATTATTCTTTAAATTGTACTAAAGCAAAATAATTAAATAATAAATGTTTAGACTCAAATTTCCATAGAAAATAAACTATTATTGTGTCATAGTAATTGAAAATAATAATATATATTTTTTATAAGCCAAATACTATTTCTTTTAATTTATGCTATGAAATCAATTAAAACATTTTTTAGCTAACTTCTTCCTTATTATTGTATGTAAAATTAATACCCTAAATGTAATTGTGAAGAACGTAAAAAGGTATTTTCCCCACTAAATAATTAATAAATACGAACTACGCGTAATTCTAGAGAACTAAAAAATAGTTTACATTGATATATATAAAAATTCCCAAAATTGATCAAATTTATATTTACGTTATGAAAATGTTCCGGAAAGTCTACCAACCTTTATAATATATCAAAATTAAGTTTTGATATTTACAACAATATTAATAATAATTTTATTAAAATAATAATAATTAAAAATATAAAGTTAAAATATTTAAAAAGAAAAATCGACTTAGTATACTACTGGATAATTATTTGATTTGGTTTTTTTCAGTGACTTATTTTATTTAAAATAATTATATGCAAATTACTTTTTATAATTTTATTTATTTATTGACATTTAAGTTATAATAATACTAAAATAATGTTATATCGTTTTTGAAAAACTGGTATAAGTGAGACTTAGAACAAACTTACTTATTCATCTAAATATTTAAAAAAAAAAATGATGATTATATGATTTAGATATTCATTTTCTTGGAAACTATTGAAAAATTTTGCTTTTCGTACAGAAAAATATTATTCGATTCAATATATTATACAATAATATATAATTAAATCATTTTTTCCCCCGTCTTTTCATGTATAATACCCTAAATATTAATGAAAACAATATTTTAAGTTTGATGATTTGATATAAATTTTTTTCTATAATTTTTGTTCTTATAATTTTTTTTATTTTATCAATCGTTTGCGTTTTAAAATTATTTAAAATACAATATCATAACTAATTTGATATCATTAATAACAGACTCAAAAATAATCCGGAATTTGAGTTTCTTATATAAAATGATTCACTCTGTATTTAAGTCCTAGGTTTACAGATAACTTCATGTGATTACATATTTTTAAAAAATAATTTTTTCATGTGTATTATAAACTATGAATGTAACATTTATAAATGTTCTTAAATTTGTTATCATTCGATATTTTTTGAAAGGCTTATCTAGAAAATAATAATATAATAAAACTATCCTATTGTAATAACACAAAAATAACTAAATAAGGAGATGTTAGGGTGTTTTTGACCAAGATTGGATATTTTGGGGATTTGGTCAATTGGTGAGCAACGAGATTCTATCGGGGTTGTAGAGTCCGAGGGTTTAGAACAATAAAGACAAGTAGATATAAAAAGTAATAATCAAGGTTCTTCTTATAGAGATATTGTAAATGATTCAACTAGTAAGTACCTGTAATAATACACTGAGGCAACGAAGAGGCGGTGGCCATCTCACGAATACCCAGTCGAAGTGTTATATATATACAGTAGAAATCACATTAGGTTTTAAACTCTTTTAGGCAACGAAGAGGCGGTGGCCATCTCACGAATACCATGTAATGTGATTATGTATAAGGTCCGAACTAGTTAATAATAATTAATTGAAGTTTAAAGATTAATATAATTATTTGATCTATTGCTTTATCGTTCTATACTCAGATTATTAATTCTAAATAATTGAATTATAAGATAATATAAGTATTGATTCTTAATGATTCAAAGTCTTACCTGAAGATTTTTCTTGTTTTAATAATAACTTTTGACAATATCAGATTATAATAAAATAACACGAACTCAAATGTTTAGTTCATAAATTAACAATTAAGAATTTCACAATGATGATTACGAACTTGGCGTATCGATGTCGAAAGCACGATTCGACCAGCTCAATGAATATTCAGAGACAGACTCTCTTTAAGCCTTCCGCACTCAGCCCCTTTATAGTATTCCCTTTTATCCCCGCACAATCATCATTGTGTCATTCTCGCAATGTTGCTATTTTATTGACAAGTCATCATAAAATATATGAATTAATACATTAAATACATAAATACATGCGAATAATACACAAATCATTTTGACACTTCATTAATATTATTATAGTTAGTTAAAAAGAGCTGACAAGTATAATTTGTGAATTTTCTCAAAGAAAAAAAAACAAACATGTTATTATAAGCTTATGAATATAATTTATAAATAAAAGTGTTAATAATTTTTAAATGACCATTATTATGGACACAAACAGAGCAGTCCTCTGTTATATCATATTGTGATAGTGTCGAGAGTATTATGACACTATTATTTCAAAGATGTATTGTCAACATTAGTCCCTCAAAAATATGTTATTCATAATAGAAAGTTTCTCAAATTACCTGATGGAAATAGACAAATTAGCTAATTATAATTAGTTTCTAAATAATATCTGAATAATATCAAATTAAAAAATTTGAATTCAACGTCATATCAGATATATTTTACAAATACTTATGAATTTCTATGACGTCATTTTGATGTTAATATAATAAACTTAGAAAAAAGTAAATACAAAACATATTTTGAAGAAATTATTTCTGATATTGTCTTATTATAAATTTGATTTATTGATAATTACTTCACTGTTAATGAAAACAACACATACTAGTTATTTTAAATTGCAAATAAAATATTTAAGTATTTAATACATTTAATTTTTATCATAATAGAAAAAATCTTCTTTTCGAGTAAGTACATTATTTCATTCAACATAAATATTACAAAAAGGTTGAGAAGGTACATAAATGATTTTTGTTAAGCAAAATTTTAAATGATTATTATAGTAAGTTTATTTATTTTAGATAACTATAATAAAAAGAATAATGTCAATTTGGTTTTTGGCTCTGTTATTATTTTGTGTTGTAAATGAAATTTCCAGCGATGACTCCAATGGTAAGATATAATTAAAAGTTTAATTAACAGGTGGTGGTTGCAAATTAAAATAAACTTATACTATGCTATTATCATTTAAAACATATTATTTCCATTTTCACTATTTAATCAACATTTTTATCATAAAAAAATTTTATTAAAGCAATCTGCTTTAAATACTTACAGCGCCTAATGGATTTATCCATAGAATATGTCATTTTAAATACTGTGTACAATTAATTACATTTTACTTTTATTTCTCATTTTCAAATTATCTTACTTAAAATTTTTGTATGATTAAATAAATTTTTTTTTAATTCAGGCATCTCTTACATTAAGTTTTATTTTAATTCCTGTTTCCAATTCATTGTATAAAATCTGAATTCTTTAATTTTTTACTATAATTCAAATTATTCTAGTATCTTTTACTTTGTGTACTTATATAGGTTTTTATTTTATTTTAAATTAAGAGAAAATCATTTTCAATACAAATTGTTTAGATATTTAAAATTTAGTAATTTTTTTTATTAAAAAATAAAATTCAAATAAGTTATTTATTTAGCGTCACTATAGTAACTCAAAAAAAAAATATTAAATATATATCTAGGTGGTGAGGGTAATGTATGATCAGAGTTACTATTATCGTTTTTATATTAGCTTCGATGCGAAGCTGAGAAGGTATTAATTTTACCATGATGTGTTTATTTATTTTTTTTATTTTTTTTGTTTTTGTGTCTGTCACTACTTTTTCTCAGTTCTCACTGGACCGATTTCTTTTAACAATACGTCAAAAGATCACAAATTGTATCTAGTTGAAGACATTACCCTTAAAAATTTAAAAATTTTCCCTCGTTCCCCGCAAATGGGGGAAATATCCNTAAAATTGAAAAAAATTCTCTCGTTCCCCGCAAATGGGGGAAATATCCAAAAAAATTACAAATTTAAAAATCTCTAATTTTCGAAATTTTTTCAATTTTTTTTTACTTAAAACTTCCATTACTTTTTGAAAAATCAACAAATCAACATAATTTTTTTTTATACTAAAACCTTAGATATTTACCTTTCATTTGATATCATTTTTTTGAAAATCTATCACTTAACCTGCTCATTAGGGGGGATTTAAAATTGCAACTTTTTTACAAAAACTAACTTTTTCAACTTAATTTTTGAAAATGTTCCGGAAATACTGCGTCCTTTAAACATATATCAAATTAAAGCTTATTTTATGTACTATAAAATGAAAAAAAAAAATTTGTCCCGACACTTTATCTTCTGCATGTAAACGGTTGCCGTAGTTAAAAAAACACTATTTTTGTGTTAAAATTTTCGATTTTCAATTTTTAATTTTCAACTTAAAAATGCTATAACTTTTCGAAAAATGCATGTATCAGCACAATTTTTTTTTTTCTAAATACATTATAAGTACATCTTCCATTTGACATACTTTTTATTAAAATTGGACAATTTCCCTTATATAGGGAGCATTCAAAACTTGAAACATTGTATAAAACATAGAACTTTTTCAACTTAACTTTTGAAAGTGTTCCGGAAATACTGCGTATTTTAAACATATATAAATTTAAAGCTTATTATATGTACTATAAAATAAAAAAAAAAAATTTATCCGACGATCTATCTTCTATGTGCAAATGGCTGTCCAAAATTAAAAAAAATGTAATGTTTGCGATAAAAATTACCTTTTATTGGGATGTTTTTTGTGCTTAAAACTGCCATAACTTTTTCAAAAATTAACATATAAAAATAATATTTTTTTGTATTGAAACCTTAGATATTTTCCTTTCATTTGATATAATTTTTTTTGAAAATCTACCACTTATTCTGTTCACTGGGGGGATTTAAAATAGTAACTATTTTACAAAAACTAACTTTTTCAACTTAATTTTTGAAAATGTTCCGGAAATACTGCGTTCTTTAAACATATATAAAATTAAAGCTTATTTTATGTACTACAAAATGAAAAAAAAAAATTTTCCCGACGACCTATCTTTTATACGCAAATGGCTGCCGTATTCAAAAATATGCTATTTTTGTATTAAAATTATATGTTTTGTATTTTATTTTAATAGAAGTTGATGTTGATTTTGCAATTATCCATCAATTTTTTAAAATTAAACACTATCTACAGATTTGCATCGAAGCGTTTCTTATGATAGTGATTTTAATCACTGTCAGATTAAATCTATACTGGACCCAACTATGCAATGTCTCCACTATGCCGTGACCCCACTGTGCTACCGTTTTTTTAACTAAAGCTATAGCTTTTTAAAAAATGTATTAATGTTCCTTTCTTCAGCGAAAAAATCTTAAGGTTTATAGTTGATTGCGTAGTGCTCTACTGCAACACGCCATGGACTTAAGATTGGTCACTGTTTGGTATTATTCGTTATTATATTCGTCATTTATATGGTTGCTATTTTCAATGTGTTACTAAGGAACATAAGTTCAAAACGTTTTATGTTTGTATGAATTTTAAGCTCATTTCCATTACTCGTATTATATTCCTTAATTTGTTCCCATTATTCGTATGTATTACCATTCTTATTCAAATTATTCGTTATTCGTCATCTTCCCAACAGTTGTCGGTATTTGTGACACGAATTTAAGAGATTATAAATATTTGTCCAATTACGCGATAGACGGGAACGGTCTACTAGGTAATTAATGACTTTTTTGAAAATATTATTTTTGGATTTTGTTAATTACATATGTATTTCTATATATCTACCATAAAATCATTTTTAGGTCCATTCCTTACAACTTATAAAATTTAATATTAGTAATATCAGAGCTCATAAACTTAATCATAGATAAAGTTATAAATCCTTGTTATAATTGCACGGCTAATAGCAATAAAGAATACAAAATACAGTCTAGAAAATTTTGATTTATTCATTTTAATTTGACTTATTGCAAAGAATCAGCAAAAACGACACCTTTATTTAGCAAATTTTCGTCCGAGTAGTTACGTCGTATAATAGCAGATATTTTTGTATTGGGCTTTTTTTGCTGTTTTTTTTCATTTTAGTTGGTTTTGATGGATTTGGTTTGGTTGGGTTTAAATGGCAGATTTTTGAGGCGACAAAAAAACAAAATGCTATTGAATTTATACAATTTTGTTATCAAGTCAATGAAACGAAATTTTTATCTTTCTATTTATTCACTAAGAAAAATAACAAAAATACATTTAACACATTCACAGTGAGTGACATAGAAACACACAAAATGACTTGATGACTAAATGACACAAAACTTAATTATGAAATATGAAATCTATGTATCAGGTTTTGGACATGAAGAGAATGGGAATATAAATAAATCATGTTTTTATCACTAGTCCAAACTTACTTTATAAAAATGTATTTTTATAAAACTTTTCAGATTCAAAACTTGAAAATTTCATAAATAGTAAGAAATTATAATTTATATTATAATACATTTTTAAATATCATTAGATTTTAAACACCTAATAATATTATTATGCAAATTTCAGTTTATATTTTATAGTTCAAATCTATATTTTAAGTTGTTAATATTTAAATATTTTATATAATATTATAATACAATTCTTATAACTCATTAATTTTTAATATTAAATAAATACATTTAAAAATAGATAAAATTAATAAATAATTAAAGAATGGCTGAATTTGCCTTCTTACAAAATACATTCATATACAATGTATAAAAATGAAGTTTGAACAATCAGAAACATTTCTGTTGTTCGTGTTCTATATGAATATGTCAGTAATTATTAAAGATATACAATATCAAAAAATTAAAAAAACTTTGTAACAAATTTTCATGACACAAATTTTTTTTTTAAATAATTTATAGAGATGTATAAATTGGCGCCCCGTGTAGGTAATGTACACAATATTATTAATTTCATTATTTCTTATGCCAGAAAAAAAAATTAGCTGTATAAAATTTTTATTGAATAAATTACTGTTGACCCAAATAAGATTTAGTTGGCACAACTGTAATATCCAATATAATTAAGAAACAGTCTAAACATAATCATGTATAAAAAAGAAGTTTGTACTATTAGTATTATTTCTGTCGCTCACTTTTTCGTATACTTAAGAGTGTAGGAGTATCATAATGATACCATAAAGATATACAATATAAAAAATATAAAAAAATGTATAACATATTATTTAAAATATATATTTATAATTCTTTTCAGATTATTACGAACAAGATGTCTTAAGATGTAAAAAATCATAATTTATATTATAATAAATTTTTAAATATTATTATACATATCTATAATAAAGAAGTTTGAACTATCAGGAACATATCTGTAGTCCACTTTGTTCATGTTCTATATGAATATATGAGTAATTTATTATGCTCGAATACCTTTATTAAAGATATACAATATCAAAAAATTAAAAAAAACTTTGTAACGAATATCATTATAAAATTTTTTTTATAATACTTTTTCAGTGATAAAAATTGGATTGTTCAAAACAAGTAATATAAAAAATATTATTCATTTTATTATGTCTTAATACCAGGGGAAAAAAAGAGATAGTAAATTATTATTGAAAAAATTACTGTTGATCCAACTAAGATTTTGTTGGCAAAATTGTAATAATTAGTTCCCAATAAAATTAAGAATAGTTAGACTATAGTTAGACATATGGCTAAAATTACGTTGACTATCTTCTTACTAAATACGTACATATGCATATGTATGAAAAAGAAGTTTGTACTATTGGTATTATTTCTGTAGCTCAATTTTTCGTATTCTTAAGAGTGTGGGAGTATCGTAATGTACCTTAAGGATATGCAATATCAAAAATATAAAAAAAATGTATAAGAACTTTTTTTATAAAAATACTTTTGTTAAATACTTTTTAGATTTAAATGACGAAGAGATTGCAGAAAGTAATAAATAATATTATAATACATTTTTAAATATTATTACATATTTAACACCTAACAAAATTATTATGAAAATTTCAGTTTGCATTATTTAGATTATAATTATATTACAAGTTAATAACATTTGAATATTTTATATAATAATAAAATGAAATTTTAAAATATATGCAAAATCAAAAAAAAATAAGAAATTTTTATAACAATTTTCATTATAAAAATATTTTATATAATACTTTCCAGTGTTAAAAGAAGAATGGCCCTTCATAAGTAATGTATACAATATTATTATTTTTATTTTATCTTAATATCAGGAAAAAAATTAGCTATTGTAAATAATTGTTGGATAAATTACTGTCGATTCAATTAACATTTTATTGGCACAACTTTAGTATCCGATTCCCGATAAAATGAAGAAATAGCATAAAAATGACTAAATTTTCATTTTGTACTATCTTACTAATACATATGTATTAGAAGAAAGTTTGTACCATCGGGAACATATCTGTAGTTCACTTTTTGTAACTTATTAGGCTCGAATACCTTTATTAAATATATAAAAAATTATAAAAATTTCATGATATTTTTCATTATGAAAATGTGTTTATAATACTTTCCAGTGTCAAAAAAACATATGGCCTTTACGAGTAAGAAATAATTAAATACCTTGTTTTAATCTTAATAAAATTATTATGAGAATTAAAGTACATACTTTATAATTTAGAATCCATGTTTTAAGTTGATAATATTTGAATATTTTATAATTTTGAATAATATAATTTAAAAATACTTTCGTTAAATTACTTACTTCTTGTGTAGTATAATTATTAACACATGTACTAAATATCACATATGTATGAATAAAGCAAAAAATCATCTAAGGAATGTTTCCCTTTTGGGGTAATAAAAATAACTATTTATCAACACATGTTTCAAACCAGTCCCCTACAATTCATTAACTACGCCCACGGCAGGGTTTCTATCACAATTAACCAATCACAAATAATAATCTAACATCTTAGGAATTTNCCTTTATCTTTTTTTTTGTTTATTACACTTGAAGGCAGTTTAAATATTATTGCTAAAATGGTTTTACCATTATGTGTTTTTTTTTTGTCTGCCCATGAAATTTTCAGCTCTCTCTGGATCGATTTTGTTGATTTATGCATCCAAAGAACCCGATTTTAATCTAGTTAAATCTAAAAATTTGTAAAACTCCTCAATATAAGAAATTTTAAAAAATATGTCAAAATTACCGTAAAAATGATGTTTAAAAAAATATTCAAAAATAGGTATTATTATTTATTTCGTATTAGAAGATTATACTGATTTAATTAACAAAAGATGCCACCAAGCGGCGATAACAATTCCGACATAACTGGTTCAAATACATATCAATAATTATAATTTTTTAATTTCTATGATTAAAAATTTGAGCAAAATATTAAATGCTTGTAAATTATTTGCTTAATAGCTTTATTGGCCGATTTCACATAGTAAAACAACCATGAGATTTCTTTATAAATATTGTAATACACTTTACGTGCTTTTATTTTAGCTTCGATGCGAAGCTGAGAAAGTATTGGTTTTACAAAGATGTGTTTTTTTTTTTTGTGTCTGTTACCACTTTTTCTCAGCTCTCACCGAACCGATTTCTTTCAATGATACGTCAAAAGATCACAAATCGTATCTAGTCGAAGACATTACCCTTAAAAATTGAAAAAAATTCCCTCGTTCCCCGTNTAGTCGAAGACATTACCCTTCAAAATTGAAAAAATTTCCCTCGTTCCCCGTAAATGGGGGAAACCTCCAAAAAAATTACAAATTTAAAAATCGTTAATTTTCGAAATTTTTTCAATTTTTTTTACTTTAAAGTGCCATAACTTTTTCAAAAATGCACATATCAATATAATTTTTTTTTTATAAATGCTTGATGTCTTTACCTATTATTTGGTATATTTTTTTTGTAAATTTGATCTTTTTTCTGCCCACAGGGGGGGATTTAAAATGACAACTTTTTCACAAAAAATTAACTTTTTCAACTTAACTTTTGAAAATGTTCCGGAAGGTCTGACACTTTTATATATATCTTAAATTAAAGCTAATGTAATATACTTTAATTTGAAAAAAAAAAATTTGACCTCTGGACTTGTCTTCACGGCGAAAATGGCTACCGAATGCTATTTTCGTGTGAAAATTCTCGATTTTATTATTTATATTATATTTAACTTTATAATGCTATAACTTATTGAAAAGTTTATGGATCCACACAATTTTTTTATGAGAAATAATATTTTTTAATAAACCCTTTTTCATTCGACATACTTTATCTTAATCGAGATATTAATAAGGAACCAGCAGATCAAGTAGCTTTTGGAATAAAACACCAATTTTTTTAAAATTAAACACTATCTAAAGATTTGCATCGAAGCGTTTATTTTTGATAGTGATTTTAATCACTGTCAGATATCATTATACTTGATCCAACTATACCACGTCACAACTGTGCCGCGACCACCCTGTGCTGGGTTTTTGTTATAGTTAAAATTAAAACGTTTCAGAACTAAAAGAAAGCTATTTGTTTCTTGTATACTATAAAAAACTTATTTAGAATGAGCGTTTTTAAAATGTCATTTTTTACAATGTGGTAATTTTAAGATATTTTTTTAAATTTCTAAAATTAAGGGATTTTACAAATTTTTAGGTTCAATTAGATAAAAATCGGGAGAGCTGAGAATTTTTATGATCAGACATAAAAAAAATCACACACCATCACAAAACCTTCTCAGCTTTCCACTACGCCCCTTTAAATTTCGTTAAAAGTTAAATTGGCAAAATTACACTAACTAAAGAGATAGTTAGTAGCAAATGACTTATAAAATATCATAGACATAGGATGGACAAATTTTTGGTACCTAAATGTAATTTTTTCCTTCCTAAATTTTATTTATACAACAATACTTTTAATTAAGCAAATATTTTTGAACTATTTAAAAAAAATGTTTTTATCAATTTTTGCATATTTAACGATGTATACCATTAATATACGCTATATAGTCGTTAAATGTGCAAAAGAGTAATACGTTAAAAGAAACGCAATGTAAAATCTACTTGTTTTCAGTAAGTTAATAAATAACTAAATTTAACTTAACTTATAGACTTGTTTAAATCAACCCTTGATATTCATAGACAATAACTGAATTTAATTATAATTTAATTTGAAATTGTTTAAATAAAATTTAGACTATTTATTGGCGAATATAATCATTAATGGTAAAGTATACTTATTAATAAAAAATATCATAACTACATTATTACTTAAAATATAGTATGAACAAAAGTATCGTGTTTATGGCAAAACCGTGTAACTAAACGTTTTAAGATTTTATTTTTTACCAAAAATAATTATTTAACATATTTTAAGTGGTTTTCAAATAAAAAGTTTTTATTTTTCTTGAGACAATGAAATATTTATAAGTCTATTTACATTGGTATTAACACAAAAATGGTGTTTTATTTTCTTCTTCTGAATTGTGGGAAATAGAGTTACGTGATTTTGCTACAGAGACGATGATTAATTGTAAAATAATTAAATAATGAGTTTCTTACCGAATTCTTAATGAATTCTATAGTATTTTTTATTCTTTGCAACACTTTTATATTATATATCAAAATGAAAAAAAATATTGACTGGTCAACATAGGCGTGAACAGACTTATTAGTCTGAGGCAGCAAAACTTACCCCCAACTACATTGCTACATTAACGGCCCACTTTAAAAAAAATTAAATTTAATACTCATAGAATCTCAAGTAATTGTCCCTAAACATTTCAAGAGTATGTAATTACCTTGTCTAAATACCCCTTTTACTCTTTACAAATAGACGTTGCTATAAAAATTTTGGTTTATCTTACATTTAACATTTTAGTCTATAAATACTAACAATAGGGTACAACGAAATATTGAAAATGTTGGTAATTAACTTTTAATAAGAATAAAACGTGCAGTTTAATATCCTAATTATCGGGAAAAAAAATATTGTTTTAATATCTTCAGGCGACACAAAAGGGTGGAAAATTTACTATAAGGGTAGTTTTTTTGTTTTTGTCAGTTATCTATTAATATATACTATTTACAGGAAAAATTATAGAACTATATGTTTACCATAAAATTTTATTAGCAAAAAACCGTATGTATTATACTTAGTTATTAAAATTAAAAGGACAACATATTTCTATCTTTATCGCTGAAATCGTTTTTATTAGTTAATTTAAATATTGCAGACGAAATAAACTGATAAAAAGATTGAACAGAAAAAGTGTTTGTATAAAAATTGTTTAGAATTTAATTGTTATTATTTGCGTTGTGTGTATCATTTCTTTTATCAAACATAGTTGTTATAATTGGGTAATAGGTGGATTGAAAAACGGAATTTGCTAGTACTATTAAAATTTACAAAATAAAATATTCTTGTTATTCCACTATTATTATTATTGAAAATCTATTTATTTATAGAGGGTGATCTAAAAAAAAAAATGTCTGGTCGATAAAAAATATTTTAAAAGATATTAACACTTTTACACTAAGCCAGAGGAAAAAATTACATTTTTTGCAAACTATTACTGAATTATAACAACTACGTTTGGTAAAATAAATGATACACAGGACACAAATAATAAACAATTAAATTCTTAGCAAATTTATACAAAAACTTTTTTTGTATGTTGAATATTTCGTCTGTAATATTTTAATAAACTAATAAAAACAACTTCAACGGTAAAGATAAAAATATGTTGTTTTTTTAATTTTAATGGTTAATTATATACAGCTTTTTTGCTAATAACATTTTTTATGGTAAACATTTAGTTCTATAATTTTCCTCCGTAATCAGGAGACAAAACTGCAACTTTTTCTTCAATTAGAATTTGATTTGATAATCAAATTCTAATAGAAGAAAATTTTTCAATAATTGTTCCACCCTAACTAACAATTAATAAAATTCATAATAATTTCAGTAGTAAATTATATAAAACTTCATACTGGTATTAGATAAGAGTTATATAATTAAATTATTGAACAATATCAATCAATATATTGTTAACATATAATATCATTTTTCTATTTTTTATTAATATATAACTTCTATTAGGTCTATAAAAAGCCATGCTAAATTTTATTTTTTTAAGTCTGACCACTTTTTAGTCCAATATTGTTAGAAAATTTCTTAAGGTAGCACCAACGTTTAGATAGCCAGCGTTGACTCTATCTGGTCCATTTAATATACCAGACCAATTGAAGGTAGTAAAAGCATCCTTTGTTACATCTATGCGCTTGTCTATATTGGTAAATAATTAAATAAAAGAAATACTAATTTTAGAGTTAAAACAAGTTTAAGACATAAGAGGGAGGATTACACCAGTGGCGCCAATCACTTACAATAATTATTGCATAATATGTCAAAGTAGAAATAATGGGTTACAATTTGGACGGACTAATAAAAATTATATATGTGTATAATGTATCCTAAAAATTATATGGTTGTTGTTTCGTAAATTGCAATTGGTGTCACTTCATAAGTGGGCGGATAGCTTGTTAATTTTTTTGTCATATTTTTCTATCGCATTGGCACTACTGAGTTATACAACGAATATAGTCTTTATTTTATATCACGTAATCCAAAAAAGGTATGGGCGAACAAGTGGCATGTAACGCAATACAACAGACGAAGCCGGATTTAGGGGAGGGCTGAGTGGGCTGCAGCCCATGGGCCCCCACAAATTTGGTATACATTGGTATCACAAATATAATAATAATTGTTCTTTAATAAGTAAAAAAATATATTTCCTTGTTTATGTATAAGTCCGTCCCTGACCGCAGATATAAATGTATATCAGTATTAAATATTTAATTATGTGCTAATAATGCTAAGCTGCATAAGTTAATTATTAAATGTATCAATGTAAGTTTATACCAATGATGAGTATTTATATATATATATATATATATACAGGGTGATTTTTTTATCATAAACCACTCAATTACTTGCAGAATAATAATAATTTTAAACATTTTAGCTTCGATGCGAAGCTGAGAAGGTAATGGTTTTACTAAGATGTGTTTATTTTTTTTTTTATATCTGTTACCACTTTTTCTCAGCTCTCACCGAACGGATTTCTTTTAACGATAAGTCAAAAGATCACAAATAGTATCTAGTCGAAGACATTACCCTTACCTTCAAAATTGAAAAAATTTCCCTTGTTCCCCGTAAATAGGGGAAACCTCCAAAAAAATTACAAATTTAAAAATCGCAAATTTTCGAAATTTTTTCAATTTTTTTTACTAAAAACTGCCGTAACTTTTTCAACAATGAACATATCAATATAATTTTTTTTTTATAGATGCTTGATGTTTTTACCTATCATTAGGTATATTTTTTTTGTAAATTTGACCTTTTTTCTGCCCACAGGGGGAGATTTAAAATGACAACTTTTTCATAAAAAATTAACTTTTTCAACTTAACTTTTGAAAATGTTCCGAAAGGTCTGACACTTTTATATATATCTTAAATTAAAGCTAATGTAATGTACTTTAATTTGAAAAAAAAAAATTGACCTCTGGACTTGTCTTCATGGTGAAAACGGCTACCGAATGCTATTTTTGTGTGAAAATTCTCGATTTTATAATTGACATTTTTTACTTTAAAGTGCTATAACTTTTTAAAAAATGTATGAATCAATACAATTTTTTCATGAGAAGTAGTATTTATATACATCTTTCATTGGACATACTTTTTTTTTTAATCGAGATATTAATAAGGAACTAGCAGATCATGTAGCTTTTAGAATAATCCATCAATTTTTTTAAATTAAACACTATCTAAAGATTTGCATCGAAGCGTTTATTTTTGATAGTGATTTTAATCACTGTCAGATATCATTATACTTGATCCAACTATACCACGTCACAACTGTGCCGCGACCCCCCTGTGCTGGGTTTTTNATTACTTGCAGAATAATAATTCTGTGCTGGGTTTTTTTTTTTATTATCTTTAGTTACACATTATTCTTGAATTTTTAACTATGTAATACTGTTTAAGTTCATCCCTTATGCCTTGGAAGGGGGTCAACTTTATTTTTTTTAATGGTAACACATATTTTTAATTTAATAAAATGTTTGAGTTTTTAATTTAATAGTTAATGGCATTTGAATTTTTAATATAACTTTATTAGCTTATTAGATATAAATATTTAAAGTTTCAAAATTTTGAGTTAATATACATGTATAATACACATGGGATTGTAAATACAGGTAGCTAATTGGATTTTTATGACATTGCTGTCTCAGTCACGGATTGTTTATTATCAATTATGATTATCAATAGATATACTTTCTGTATTGTCAGTTAGTGTATTTATAAACT